TGAGTCAACAAAGTGACTTAAGCTCCCCAAACACCGCAGACTGAGAGAGGCTCTAGGCAACAGCAAACTGAGGCAATGCAGGCGAGCTTCACAGTCTATAGGCTTGTTCTATCTGATAATGGACAGAGTAGAGAAGATTGGAGCTTTATGCACACACCAGATATGCCAAAAAGCAAAAAATAGGGCAAAAAGTCGAAATTGATGCAGAGACAGATAAGATGGATGGATTGCCACCAAATCAGAGGTATATGGAACATTTTTATAGAGTAATAGATGGCCCAAATATCACAAGAAGTGAAGCACAGGATGTGGAGATATGCAATAGGGGTCCAATAGGGGTGAAAGTGCCAAAAATGCGAACTTCACAGAGGATGATGGAGTGGATGGATTGCCCCCAAATTGAGGGTGTAAAGTGCAATAGTATAGGGTAGTAGATGGCTCAAATAGGGCCAAGATCCGAGCACAGGATGTGGAGATATGGAATAGGGGGCCAAAAGGTGGTCAAATGATGATGAAGGCTCACAGAAAGATCCAGCTCAAATCCAACCGCTCTGACAGGTCTCCTAGGTTTATTTAGGCGGTAGAAGACGATGGTAGAAGTTACAGGACGATCAGATAAGGATTGGGCGAGATATGGTGCAGATAAGACCAAAAAAGTGTCTGAAATAGGGGTAACTTGCAACAAGGAGTTGTTGTTGGAGATCAAGATGAGATCAGAGTAATCTGAGGTGATGGATGAGATAATAAGAGTCCCAGAAGACGATGGTTACGATGGATAAGCAGTAGGACACTTGGATGGTGAGATATGAGGTCAGGAAGATGGCTAGAGCACAGGGCTCATAACCTATTAAGAACAAAGCTTGAAGGAAGTGTCTAGCCACTTGCTGAGAGCAATCAGGGACTGGAACTAGAGTCCAATGTGAGTAACTATATTATTAGAGAGTATGACAGGTATACAGTACCTAGAGTCCAATGTGAGTAACTAGAGAATAGGAAGCATTGGACTCTGCAGTACTGTCTGAAGTTTTTTAAGTAAAGGTAAACAAAGCAGCCATAAAGGCGAAATAATAGAGAACACAATCATTAGTGAATGATAGAAGAATAGATAGAGAAAGGAATGAAAATATATAGGTAGCACAAAGGTGCAGAATCACCAAAACTAACAATTAAGAGTGACCATACCTCTTTTATGTCTGTTACTTCCTTGATGTTGATTAGTACATGTCCCCCCAAGTTTTCACTGACTTCATTCCAAGTATCAAGTACACGTTCTTGTTGTAGAGAATTTGCACCCCGGAACTCTTCCAAATGTGTAATGAGTATCTCAATCTGGGCGTCATTAAAAAGTACTTCAGGCATGATTAAATGTGGTACAAGTTACAAAATGAGGTGCATGTTTGAAGGTGAGCGCTATCTTTCTCTTTTCCGTCTGAGTGCAAATTTTCAGTCAATTGAATACCACATTCATCTATTCCAAGCAAACAGTTGGCTCTTCTGTCAGATCTGAGCAATGATATCATTGCCTTAACTCCCTACCGGGTCTTCTGCTAAGGCCCGGAATGTGTCAGGTACCTCCCAGCAAATGTTTTCCCTAATATATTGCTTCTATATAAGGATATTTAATGCCACATTCATCGAGTTTATTAGCCTCGTGAGACCTAGGTATCATAGAAGCTAACATAAACTAGAAGAATGGGCTCCATACCAATTACTGCCTTCTATCATAAATATCTTGTATGAGCATCTTCAAACTGGTGTCTGGTTTAACAACATCATCTCTTCTCTGCAGAATCATTTAGCATGGGCCACAGTTCCTCCCAATTTTTGGCTCCAGTGTCACAACAAGTAGATTGGAAGGAGTTCAAAATAAGCAGAGGTGTGCGGACAAAACAAATATGTATGAAAGACCACATACCCTGATCAACTTTGTCAACACACCGTCAAACTCCTCATAAAGAGTATCTGCATGTCCTCATGCAGAAAGAGGGGTAGTCCCTAGAACAGACTTGCAGCCTTTGTTTAGTGAGAGAAGGAACTTGTTGGTGCACAAAATATTTGGGGAAACCAGAGTATTGCATGTCATGCTGCAGGGATGCTCACCAGAGGTACCATTTCATAGAGTTGAGCAATGGGTGGGCACACATTTTGAGCCTTCTTGGCTTTATAGAGCCAGCTTGGTAATTCATTTGGGCCACACCAGGAAACCATGCCTAAGACTGGCTCCACACGAGCTAAGCCAATTCCCCATCTTGTACTCCGTTACCCCCTACTCCATCTCTGTACTCCGTAAGGTCACGGTTTTAACAGGTCCAGTGGTGTATCCATGTTACAATTGACATACCAGCACCTACTTTATGCTTCACTTTTCTGTACTTTTACTTTTCATTTTCCAAGTCACGTGACTGATCATGTGACCATTTATTTTACTTTACTTTTTGGGCTTTTCATAGTCACATGACCAGCTGGACATTGTATTTTCAACTTCACTTACTAACTGTATAGTACCTCATGTATTCACCTGAAATTCCCACAGTTACAGTTACAGTCTTATTAGAGCACCTAGCAATTAACTGATGCCACTCTAAATAGGTGGTTTTAGCTCTGTCCCCAGCCTCTTTCATTATTTTTCCATTATTTAGGGACTTTGTGATCAACAAAAAAAATGTGCCCCGGGTGGCAGGTGCTCTGCTCACTTTGGCAAACAATAAACTATGCAGTTTATGATTGCCACTGTGTCTTACATAACAGACTCTCCAGTAAGGTTCACAATCAATTCCACGACACTTAGCTAAGCTTATAAACTGCCCAGTTCTACAGCATAATCCATGGCTGGCTCATCAAGAGCTTGCATGCCAAGCAAAACGCTCATGTGATGTGCAACACGTGGCCCACTAATACACTCAGATAAACAATGTCTCCGCTATACGACATAATTGCAAGTGATCTGATAGAATCAGTGCAGTGGTAAGGCCATTTTAGCTTGTCTTCTCATATGTATATGGTATCTAACATAATCAGTGCTTAATGGTAGGCTATGAATTTGCAGGATCAAGGGAGTGGGGAGTGAGGCGGCATAAAGCATACAATATAGGGTCATAAACAGCAGTAAGGGACAAGCCTAGGATGTATAATGGTGAGGTAGCTGTGTTGATAACAGAAAGGAAACTTACACGAAGTATTGCAGACTCTTGACATGTGTCCCTTGGAGTCTTTGCAGTCTGAATCAATGTAGTTGGCGCTGAGTGGAGCTTTACACTTTGCTGTAGTTGTTGTGGTTGAACACCTTCTTGCAGGTAGACCAGTGGGGGCTCGCTCAGATATGCCTGCAGTGCCCAAAACATTTTCCTCGTCTTGATTTGCGGTGTGCTTGTATTTTTGTTTGCATGGAACTTCTGCATCTGATTTCTTCTTCCCTTTCTTGTGATTCAGTGCCCCTATACTTTTCTAACTTAGCCTCATAGTCTTTTAGTTGAGCTACCAGATTTCCATGCATCCTGAAGTTGTCAGATCTCAGCCACTGTCCCAATGGCAGATGGGTTTCCAAATGAAATATTGGCAGGCCAGCCAACAATCTTGACCCCATGCAAGACAATAATGGCCATTTTAATATTCAATTAGTCCATTTTTACTTTTCATCCAACAAGTCAGTCTATAAGTGTAGATAAGTAAGGAACACTAAGCAGGGCAAATGTAAGGTCTTACAAAGGCCACTCCTACAGTATCTTGTGTACTGACAACGGCAGTTTTGCAGGTTGTTGTGCTCTGATATATTTACAAAGTAAAAGTACTAGTCAATATGCTGTTGTAGTAAATTAAATATAACATACTTTGGTTTCTCAAATATCCCCATTGCTCGAACAACTGTGCAATTTCATCAGGCTCCTGACCAATCACATCCTCCCAAAAGTCCAGAAATTATCACTACAAAGTTTGGATACAAGGTGTGTTAGTACTATCACATAAACCTGGAATAATTTGATCAAACTTACTATGCAGACATGACAGCCAAAGAATGACAGGCTTTGGAAGCACTGCACAAACTGCCCAGCACACATGGTTATGACAGTTATGAAAACCAAGTCAACCTCATGGATATAAATGTGATGTCCTTGATGACTTAGAATCACTGAGTATTAGTCACACTGGTGGTGAGTTTGATGTGCTTTCAAAGGAGTTTAGAGGAGATCTATGGAAAGAGTACAGTGTTACTTATACTGATGGGAAATGGGATACAAACATAGAGTCACTAGTCATTATTATTGCAGACTCCCCCAAATTCATTACCGTGATCATTGTGATTGTGTCATGCGGAAAGTCCAGGCATTCAACCAGCAACTAAATTCACTCACCAACTCCTACATGGAGTGGAGCACCAAGCATGCAAAATCAGGTGGGAGAGCTAGATGTTTTGTCAATAAACAGAGAGAACAAGTGTTAAATGATAGGTCTGCTTCCAAGTCGTGCTGAGACTCAAGTATTGTGAAGGTCAGGGTGTTTGAGATATTTGGTAAGCCCTAGGATAGGAATGCTCACGGCCCACTCACCCAACTTGTACACAGATGCTTACACTTACAGTCTCCAAATTCTGCCTGGTGATACCTTTGTCACATCTGCTCTTGTTTGTCAAGGTGTCATCCCATGTTCCCCTATGTTCCCCTCAGTTTGTGTAATGGTCGACACTCTGGAGTTATATTGCACTGCAAAGCTACAAAACCCTTATTTCTCAATACAAGCTTGGGTAAAAACTATCAGTGATCTTTAGAAAGTGAGTTTTAAGCTTTCTTCCTTACTAGGCTACACTAATAGCTCATCAGATCCAGTACAAAAAATAACTTTGCCGTCAATTTTCTATCACCTTTAATTTTTACCTGGAAATCTGAGAATGTGTAAAAGAACTCGTCCAGAGCGCTCTCCAGCAGGACACACCAAAGTGGTATTTGAAGCACACATGTCCGGTGTGTACCTACACTCTCAAGAATGAGCAACCTCTTCTGTTCAAGATGCTGTATACTAGGGATGGAAATGACACCCTGAAGAGGATCATTAGACGCACCCTTTCAGAAGATGAGGGCAACAAATTAGGACCCTCTGCCAAACTTGCGAGTCCACAAAAGATCTACAGGGACCAATATTTGCCAAGAGAGAGCATTGACAAGTGGGTGAATAACATATTGGACAATATGCTGATGGAGGTGCTTAACGGGGTGAGTATGTTCATCTGCAATAGCCTGTATATTTATGAAAATAATTTCAGAGCAAAGCAGAAGAAAATCCTTATGTGGGTAGATGGAAAAATATGAAAGACAACATTACAAAAGAAATGTGGGACATTTTTGATGAGACCGGAATTTTCCTGGCTCTCTGTTGCCATGGCTTCTCCCTCATTGTGGACATGGTACAGAGTGGGGAATTGTGAGTCAATATTTCCTAAAGATATTTGCATACTGATTTTCAGAGCAAAATATCCTCTTGCTGTTGTCAAGAAATTATGGGATGTTTTTGGCAATGGCCTGGCTGGCTGGTTTGATATCAATTGTAAATTCAAAAAGCATGCTTTGGAAGAGTTCCCTTGGTGCACGTGCAAAGGCACTCAACCACACCTGCCTAGTAGGTACTTTCATGGACACACCCACAGACACCTTTGCCAGCTTGATCACCTAGCTACATACACCAAAGGCCTTGGGCTCAAAGACCTTAAAGGATGCAAGCAAGCATTTTCCAAGTCCAACACCCTCACATTGTCTATTTGCTATGCAAGCGTATTCTATTAGAAGCAAGTTATTGTTACGTACTTCGAGCACAATGGCAATTTTGAGGTATATTTCAATAACATTGTACCGCATTGTGATATCTGTGCACCCAGACTCCTTAACAAAACGCTCCCTGGGAAAATGTTAGTAAAGAAGAAGAAATTGTTGGTAAAGAGAGGAATCATGTGTGAAAAGATCACAGATATGCTGTATGAATGGAGAATGGAGGTTCAGCAGTGTGACTTCAGTGGTGGGATGTTTTCAGGGGAGGGGATCTTGAAAAACAAAACCATTGACTTGCTATCTTGGGTGATCAGTGGGTGTGGGCTGCAAAATATGGAGACAAGTTGGCTTAATTACTCACCAAATTGGGCATGCCAGTATTCAAAAATTTGCAGCCCAAAATAAAAGAAATTAAAAGAAAAGCAGGAGGAGTCATCAACATTGGCGGGGAACGAGAGACAAAGGTTAGGGAGGATGTGGGAAACAAAGAAGCTGCAAACATGAGGGCTTGTGGGAAGGGCGCTCGTTCAGGCTGTTCAGGGCCTAGTTCCTCGGATTGTACAGACATTGTGGTATGTATAGACACTCACAATGAGGTTGCCATGGTCTTGCGGTCTATGCAGACCTCGTTATTTACTCCTCTACCCCCTTATACTCCTACCACTGTGCCCCCTGAGGCTTACATGCCCCAGTTTTGGTGGCCTTACACTCCCACTATGAACCCATTCCTTATTATTATCCCTTCATCTCACAAGAACGGCCACTAATAGAATATAATGATATTGCTTTGAGAGCGGGTCCATTGTCAACTACAATGTATACTACTTTTGTTGTGATGATTAGGTTCTGCTTGCTGACTAGCCAACTTCCCAAAAATTCTGCTAAGTCCCAACTCACATGACACTAAGGTCCGTGTGACATTTGTGTGACGCTAACGCCCAAGTTCGAGCTTTTTCAACTATAACTGGTGTAAGTCTAGTCAATTCAAGCTGCCATTCCCTATAGATTACAGTGCGTTTTTATACTTTTATGGTAACGACGGGGATCAGCAAATGAGCAACGCCAACACTATGATAGCAACAAGTCCATGAGGAGCGTCAAAGGAGAGTGTAGGATAAGATACGTGTCCGCATGAATAAGAAGCGTGATCAGGCGCTGAGCACCTGGTGAGTCGGATCAATTTGGACTTCTGCCTTGTTATACCCAGTCAAAAGTGACAAGAGGCTGTGAGTGGCAGGTAGAGGAACCTAGTAGTAAATTTTGCCTTTTTTAGCCACTAATTCACAGCCAAAATCTCGATGAGACTCCATTAGAGAGCTATCAATATACAACCAGATCAAAGGCCTCTAAGAGCCTCTAATTTCACACTTTTGTAAAAAGTTGTCAGTAGAGCTACTTAGAGTCTGCTAGAGACACTTGAAAATGACTGGATTGCTGGTACTAGTAAAAACAAGAGTGTACGTCAAAAAAACTAGTTAGTGACGAGAGCTAAGGCATGCGGAAAGACAGGGAGGAGATAACACGGTGGATTAATGAACTAGTTGATAGGTCTTGCAGGATATTGGTAGTGTAAAGAGGAAAGAGGGAGAGACACAGTATCACACTGTGCGGTGGAAAAAGCCATGTTGCATTTGTACTTGAGTCTTTGCCAGTCTCGCCTTCCGGTGCAGACGAGGGTGGCGACCTGTTTCTTCATCTGTTTCATCATCTTCCTTGTCTATGGTCGTACAATAGTGCTCAGATCCTGTTGTTGCAGATGGCACAGTGCCAGGCGTGGCTGGTTTGGGGGTGGGTGTGGTGCGCTTGTTTGGCTGCTGTGAAGATTAGGGATAGTTAACAAGGTGTATGTATGACTTTACACACCGGAAAGTAGCCAAAATCATCATTGATTTCATCCGGAGCAATCTGGAAGAGACCACTCAAAGCTAGAGAATCCTTTTCTGGTTGAAGCTGCTCATGCTGTTGGCTGTCTGGTGTATCTGGGGAGATAGGGGTGGTCCTTCGGGATGGAGTGCCAGCTGTGCGAACCTTGCGACATTTACAAGGCGGAGCACGAGCTTTCAGTGCAATGCCAGCTTCTTCTCGTGGCTCTCACAGTGAAGGTGGGATGGCAGTTCCCTCGGATTTGCAAAACTTCTTGTGCCAGTGAAAAGTGCCCCAAGAAACCTTTGTGAGAACGCCCTTGCAGTGTCTTTGGCAGTCACAAAGATACTCTTTTGCCATATTGAAGGTAGATGTTGCCTTGATCGATAGAAAAAGCTTGAAGGGAGGGAAGGGTATCACAGGAAGGGATATCACAGAGAGGAAGCAAAGCTAGTAAAGCATGCAGAGCTATGTGCTTTGTATGCTTTGCTAGCTTTGCTGCCAGAATACCAATGGACAAAGCTGGAAAATGAAACGAAACAAGTTGAAAACGGATCAAGCATGTGTTATTATCTTTGGTCACAACCAATTGTATTTGGTAGCGCGTTCATGCACTATCCGCATTTACTTCACACTCACAGCCTCTTGTCACTTTTGACTGGGCGTTACAATCCGCGTGTTACAGCCGGTTCTGACTTTTGTGTCAGAACCGGTTGGTTACGAGCCTACACTGCTAATCTGGTCCAACCTCCCCGAAAGGGTAAACGAGCACAACCTCTCGCAAAGGTCTGCAGAGCTATTTGTAAGACATGATTTGTTGACATATGACCTACAACAGTAAAATAGGTATTAATAATGCATCCCACACAGTAGTACAGAAGGGTTGCATAAGGCCTTTGTGTAGTGATCCAAGTATGTTGACAGGCGTAGTCGGTCCGTTTGTTTTACTGATACGGTATCCACAATGTTATATTAACACCTTGTGAATGTCTCAGTAGTGTCTTGTGGGCCTCTGTAGTAACACGCAAAAAAGCACTTGTATTTGACATGTGGACAGATTTCCTGACAGCTTCATCATAATTGATAATTTGTACTACAGCATGCCACAGTATTATTGTACCATACAACAGAAAATAAATGAATGCATGAACAAATGGATATACCAGGAAAGTAATTCTAGCCCAGTGAGAGCGGTCTCCATCAGACCAGGTGGAATAAGTGCTTTCTTTGGTCGGTGCGGTAAGATCTTGCTGTTTTTGAATACTTGCCCATAGCTAGAACAAAGTACAAAGAGTACAACATGTCATCAGTTGAATTGCGACAGCAAAGACAATCAACCTGCTGATAACTGATATATACTCTGTAAACATAATGTTAAATGCTCAGTCTGTGTGTAAAAGACTGTATTGATATCTACCTGTAAGTAAATGTTGTTGTGACTATAATGAAATAACATACCTCAGTCTGTGTGTAAAAGACCAAGGCTCTAGAATGGAAATCTACGAGTTTTTTGGTGTAATCGTGGGAAAATTATGTATTAGGTAATGCTAGAAAAGCGGACAGGATAGAATGAAGTCTGCAAACATAGGTAGAAAGAAAGATATAAGAAATATGAATGTATAATGCTAACACCTGCCATTGGGAAAGAAAATTGGTGAGGTGCGAGTTCTGGCTGGGAAGCAAAGAAAATAATTTTAAGGCAATTAAACTCAGACTTATTAAGCAAGCTATTTAAGCTCCGTGTCTCCGCAAACACAATAGAGCTGGGCAAAGCTGTGGTCTATCTAGGTCTTCGTCCTTTCGTGTACTTGCCTTGTCCTCATTACAGATAATGTAATATGAATTTTTTGATAAGTTTGTAAATCTATTGGGACATGAGATGTGCTTGAATTGTGAAATGGTTTGATTGCTTTCCAGAATAGAATTACATTGTAGTCATACTCATAGTGAAGCTCTTATGGATGACCATGCATGGTCTGTACAATGATGAAAAAACATCTATAATAAACACTGAAGAGACGCCACTGGCTCAGCCATAAAAAAATCAATTCTATAAATATCTTAGAAACGGCTACTCTATACTTCCGATACCACCCAGATACCTTTGGTAGACCTTGAAATTTTTGCTATCCATAAACGACTTTGACACAACATTGTACTAAGCTAGGCTTGAATTATTTGGTAAACCTTTCACCAAGCGCTAATCGGGCTTATTACTGATATATGACCAACGTTTTTCGTCAAACATGACTGAAGCGTGAGTCAAATTTAGCGTTGCAGTGTAACTAGGAATACGTTGTTTGCAGTTGCTTGCTTCCGCACAGGTGAAACGAATCGCTAAGAAGAACTATCTAGCACGCCCCATCATAGAAGTGCCTTGGTGGGTTGTATAGGTCAGAACTGTCAGAACACCTTAGTTTCTCCTTTTTTATTTGAAACATGGGGATAATACGACCAGCCACTCCTGGTTTTTTGATAACCCTTGCCGCGACCATTCTTCTCGCTGTTGTATCTTTCTGTGTCCCCCTCCTGAGGTCGATATATTTCTTGAAGGCTTCTCTCGTGGTTGAAAAAGTCAATGGATATATAACATTTGGGACGTTGGGCTATTGTTTGAACATATCGGGCACAACAACTTGCTCGAATGCCACTGTTGGTTATGAGCTCAGTATGTATCGTTACGACTTCGCACTTGCGCAGCTCACCTTCCTGTACGTTTACCAGATATTAATCAACTCGTGGGGAACAATCTACCAATTCAAATACCTGATGTCGTTGTCAAATGGCTCACGTATGCCTTGGTACTACACATCGTGGCATTCGCTCTATCCGCTCTATCAGCTCTACTTGGTCTTCTTGCCCACATTCGGGAAATGGCCATGACATGTTTCAGCAGTTGCTTTGCAGGTTTCGCAGCTGCTGTGGCACTCGTCGCTTTCATATTTGATATCGCTTTGTTCTTCATCGCCAAATCCCGCCTGAACAGTGTGTCAGGAGGCTCTGCGCAGATTGGCAACGCTGTATGGATCACGTTGGCTGCTTGGATCCTCCTATTCTTTAGTGGTTGTTTCTATGCCATTGGTCGCTGCTGTGTCAACAGACGTCCGAGAGGTAACAAGTGGGATGGTCGAGATCAAGCTGGAGCAAGCGATACCAATACACATGCAGATCAGATGCGGTTGGGCGCTGTCAAGGCAGAGGCTGATCGAAAAGCAAGGCAGGGTCAGGGAGAGGTTGGACTTCCAGCTTTCCAAGAATACGAGCCCTTGAAGGCCAGCGTTTCGGGTGATGAAGCCTACGCGGACGAAGAAGAGAGGGTTCCCTATCATGACAACCATAATGGCGAGATGCCCGGGTCGTACGGTAGGCAGCCATCTACGACTGGCTATGCCCCTGGTGGTTATGGCCAAGCCCCTGCTGGCTCAAGTGCAATGGATGAGTATAATAACCCTACATATCCTCCCCAACCCCAACATCATGGCAGCTCCCATACTCAGACAACATCTGGATATGCACCGTCTTATTACGCTTATGCTGCTGGAAATACTACAATGGCGGCAGCTGTTGTGGCTGCAGAGCGTCAACAGTACCCAATGCTAAACACTTACCATAACCCGGAACCCTACTCCGCACAAACTTCTCCAACTGGAACTACTATCTGTAAGGACACTCTAAGTCCACCCACCACGGTCTCACAATTTTTATCTTTAGATAATGACCCATTAAGCCAGCAGTACGGAATTGGCCAGGAGTATGACCCTTATAATCACCATCCGCAAACACTCCGCCAGGAACTCTCCTTCAACCCTGATACCTGTAACTCATCTGGGGCAATGTATGGAGCTTCAAACCAATCTTCTCATGCATCATCTTCCAATGCATACGCACCCAGCCCGTCACCTGTCCATCAAGGTCATACTAGCTACACTCTCGGAGGTGGTGGGTACGGTCGCAGCGCAATCCCTGCTATTTCTAGCCCTCCCGAAGCACAGCAGTCGTCATACTTCCCCTGTTCTCATGGACTTTCCCCAATGCTCACGAAATTCGCTTCTGGGGAGCAAAGCACGAGCCCAGTTAAAGGCCCTAGGTCCCCTCATATCGTTATCGGGTCGCCAGTGCACCAACGTTCCGGTGAGAGTCTTCCCGGATATGAAGTTAGCCCTTCACAGCCACCAAAGCAACGGTGATTAAAGAGATTAATCTACTGGGCAAAACATATTTATTGTGCAATATTCTTTTTTATCATTGCACTTTCCTCTTGACTATCTCGTTCACGAATGTGTTTCATACACTTACAATATTGATTTACTCGAATCATAAAATCATCATCTAGGCTCGTCCCCAGCTGTTCCTGGGTAAAGTTTTGTTTAACATAGCCGAAATTGTCTCTTGACAATACCTAGTAACGAATGGGACCACTCGTCGCAATTTTGTGAAGTGGACGAAATCTCCACCAAAGATGACCCCCCCCAGTAAGAAACGACAATATACACCAAATTAAATAGAATCCCGACTCAGAATCAGACCATTTACATTGAATCTAATTTAATCATAAAATTTTCTCACGATTTTGGGGTGCGACTTCGAGTCAACAGAACTTGCAATTGTGTGTGATCTCATGCACTTGTACACAAAACGCAATGCACTGCAGCGTCGCAAGTTCGTGCAGTGCTGCAGTCATGCTTGCATAATTGTGTGCCCATATACACTGCGAGCATTGGCTTATTTAAGCCCACCTTATATCCTGAGTTCTGATTGGCTAGAAAAAGCAAAAATTGAATGTTTTCAGCATATAAGCTGGGCTTAAATAAGCCAAAGCCCACAGTGATATTTGGTCATATTTTGCACATGTTCATTTTCATCCTTTGTCCTGTACCACCATCTCAGCCACAATCTTTACTAACACTTGTATTTCCCACTTGCTATCAGACAGGTCTGCACTCACTTAACAAGGGATTTTGATGAATAGTGTAGAATTGTGGGAGTGGCCCCACTACTTCAGTTAAATATCTTTCAGATATTCTTTTTTCATTATAGCTATCTTATTGTTTGCGCTACTTCAAATGGCCACGGGAAAGTCAAAGAAGACTCAAGACTTCCTTTCAAAAAACAGGTTGTGGCTTCTTTCTAACCAATAAGTTATACAGATGATTACCTGCAAGGCTACAATGTGGGTACACAGTTGTTTCTGAGGCATCTTATCTCATCATCTACCTAGAAACTTACAGCGAAGGCCCTTGAAACGGAATAGCAGTGCCAAAAGGGTTATTTTTAGTGGAATAATGAAGTTGTGTTTTTGGGGAGCCAGACAACTCACCCCCCATCCCATTCTCATTTACTTTTATTTACTCCATATTGCTCATATTTGGTACCATTTGTTTTAATTCAATGTAATTAGTTTAGTTTTAAATTCAATTTGATTTGCTATAACTCAAATATTCTATTTAATAAGCAAAATATAACGGGAACCATCTAACTAAATTGAATGATTTCTGTGCTATCACTGTGGTTGGATACGGGTTTTTTACATTCAAAAATAATCTAGGATTACGGTAGCTTTAAGACATATACCGAATCACATCGAATATCCAACAAATTGTGATGTAATTCAGTATATAGTTTGTCGTTTCTTACTGGGGATGACTTGGGGACTTTGTAGGGCTTAGAAATCATGAAAGATGTGTCCAAAAGTCAGTATATAGAAAATCATTTTTGTAACTAGTCGAACATATCTTGTAAATAAGGTCTGCTCCAATTTAACAGTGGTGTGTGCAGTGCCCCCTTTGGTGCCAATACTAAGAATCATCAGGCTTTATTCAAGCTCAGAGGAAACTCAGACAAAGACAGCCCAACTCAGCCCTCAGTGAATTCCTGCCAAAAATTACTGGGTGAGAAAGTCAATAGCACCTGGTACAATGGGTGATTAAAACTGATGCAATTTGTTGAGAATAACATGCTTAGTTGGTGTTAATCTATGCTAGTGGTGCATCAGGAAAAACCCTTTTGCTATATAGCGCTATATAGCCACCACCTATATATATAAATGCATTCAAAGATGACAAATTATGTCATTTGTTTATAGTATGAGAAAACATACATTGGCCAGGGCTTGAACCTGGGACTCCAGCTTTCATGGTCTGGTGCTTTACCAACTAAGCTACCAAGGCGTACTTGGAAAGCATACTGATTGGTTGCATGCCCAGAAGGTCCAGAATCACTGTACACAGGTGCGGATCCCATTGTGTTATGATAATAGAAACTATAGTACTATCAGTGCAATCATAGCTCTTATAGCTCTTATAGCATAGTAGTAGGCAAAATCTTAACTAAGGGGAGAAGTATCTATAATTCCCTCAAACTCTGGATTAATCTAATAAATTTGTTCAATAATAGAAAGAGGCCAAAAGTGTTTGGAGTCAAGTATATTCTTATAGGCAAGGTACTATAAGTGCTCTTATAGCCTATAGCAGCCTACATAGCTCCTATAGCTGTGAAGTTCATAGTTATAATATAGTTCAAGGTGCTTAAAAGGGCTAATAAATCATACAGTATTAATCAATTATATAGCCTGTATTAGTGAGATAGTAGTTTGTATCTTTGATATTTATAAAATAAGAATAATGATTTATCCAAATATAAGTAGTGGCAATGAGTAAAAAAATAATATAAGTCCATGAAAGGTCAATATATAACACCTGTATGATATATTTTATAAGCTCTCATGGTGTAGTGGATAAATGTGATGTGTGGTAATAGGTTGCTCATCACCTAAAAGCTGACTAGCAGGTTGAGAGTTTAAATCCTGTCTGTGTTAATTTTTTTCTATCAGCCACACGACAATTTCCAACACCTATAAGAGTATTTATAGAGCTATATGAGGCTCTATAGATGGCAGGGGTTCTGTAACGGGTTTGACCACTATAACAGCTTTATGAGTACTTATAGTGCTATATAGCTCTATATAGCTACCCCCATTTTTCCTGATGTTGATCGGATCCAACCGTGCAAACATGCTAGCTCTAGCTCAAGAACTATATCTCTTTGCCATGAAAGCACACAGATCCATATTCCATGTGAAGAGCTGTCTACACCATTCAGTAAGCTACAATACAGCCTATGAGGCTCTTAGGACAATGGCCCATGCCATGCATGGGACGTTGAGGGAAGCAACTTGTTCAGGGTCAGGGTGATTCTTTTCAGTGGTTGGCGATAATGTTCAGGCATACTTGAGGATCTGGGACCCCAGGATAGGGAGAGAAAGCCACATGATTAAAGGATTTGCTGGTACGGCTGTCAAAATGCAAGACTTTGATGATGACTTTGATGATTCAGCACTAGACATTAAAGAGCTCATTAGACGACAAAAGCTGGAAGAGAGAAAGAACTTATCCACAGATGTAATACTTACAGACATTGATTTCCCCCACTTAGAGTAAGCCACAGCTCTTTATCTCCTCAAGGCCTTGATTGATTTCATTCCGGCCTTGGGGATCAACGAAAAAAATATACAGGGACATCAAATCTCACCTACTCAGAAAACAAATGTCATACCTCTGACTACAAACAGCGCAGACAAAATGCATGTTAGTGGCATGGAAGATGCAGTATACAATTTAATCAAAACTCAGCTTATTCTTAATGATACAACGCTAGGAGACCGTTTGGTTATTTTCAGTGGGGATGGTAAAACCTTTGATCAACTGATCCCAACCGGGGCATCACCTTAGCTAACACAATTTTGCTCATACAGAATGGAATGCTGTGGCAGGAAATATGTCAGGCCATATCATCGGGCAATACAGGGAGGCTTTGGGAGGCTTTGAAAGTTTGGATTTTCACATTTGCAGGAGGGAAAAATCCCTATCACTCAAGTTTTTCTGTAATTTTAAATGGGAGTTCTCCCCGGCCTTGGTATTGGCCATCTTCAGCAACTGGTTGGTGAACATGTATGGGTTGCCGGGTCGGTTTATTGAGCTCAACCTGCTACAAGAACATTCAAATTTTTGGCTGGAAGAAATTGTTCAGCATAAAAGAAAGGAGTTTGATGACCCTTACTATTGTTGGGTGATCTCCATGCATGTGCTGTTCTTCCTGCACTTGAAAGAGGAGATGGAGGGCATGGTATTGTTGCAACCTTGGACAAAAAGCCATGGCACCCGGGGGGACAAGAATGAATTGCAAGTAATAATGAAAAAGCTGTGGAAGGAAGAGGTACACAGGCGCAGACCAGGTCAAGATCTAGGATTTTTGGCACAAGATGATTTTGATGTGGGTTTGGACTTGATGCAGAATGGGAAGCTGCAAAACTTGATTACAAGAACAACACAAATACAAGAAAGTAGTACTGTAAGAGTAGGAGATGACAATGAGGACTGGGACTGGCCAGAGCTGATCAAAGAACTCTTGCCATGCCGTGGTGGCCTCGAACCACCAGAGGGATATATATACTAATCAATGTCAAATTAGGAATGCTTTAGGTGCTTGAATCTGTGAGAGTCTTTATAGCTGGCAGTGGAATGGGTGACTGGGAACTTACTAGTAGAATCTGTGAGGCAGTCATTTGAGTCTTTGTAGCTTATGTCATGGATGTTGTTTGTAAATCATTGGATGGCCAGGATTTGATGGCCCTTGTACCAATGGGTGGAGGCAAAATGGGATACATATTTATGTACATGCTAATCATATCCGCCCTTGCCAATATTCCAACTTTGTGCCAGCCTAAGGAAATTGTACCAAAAGACCCAGCTATGGTGGCCATTTTTCCAACCAATGGCCTAGAGGAGGTGGTGGTGAGTGACCAGGTTTAACTTACCTCATATTGCCTATAGGAACTTGAGTTTCAAAAATATGGCCTAAATGCCATAGCCATCAACTCATATACCATATGAGAAGCATGAAAGCAAGGCAAGGACCTGTGGAAGATTGTTAGCAAGCAGGTGTTGCTGATACTAATCTTGCCTAAGCAACTTAGCTCAAAGCCATCTGAGCGCCTACTCTGTCACCCTATGTTCTGGACACAAGTATGTGCACTGTCTATAGACAAAATTCACCTCCTAGACACCTGGGGAAATGAATTTTGTCAGGTCTTTCAACAAATTGGATATGTGACCTCACATTTTCTATCACAGGTTGTTATGATTGACCTGACAGCAACACTGCCCACTGGCCCGCTAATGCAGTGGGTCTGCAATTTTCTAGGGCTCAAAGTAGTCTCATTCCATTTAGTACATAGATCAAATATATATGCCAATTTGTGGACTGTGATTCAAGAACGCACCCAAGGGATAGGGAACCACTCATTCCCAGATCTGATCTGGATCCTTGACAGCTGCCGCAAAACAATAATCTTCTGTGAAACAATTCACATTAGTTTGTGTGTGCACATATACCTGTGGAATAATACATTAATGGCAGCCAATTGTGACCGGAAAATCAGTATCCACATGTATAACTCACTTAACTCACCATTGTCCAATGCTGAGACCTGGTGTCTCTTTTGCGAGGACCCAAGGGCCTAAATCATCACTGCCACTGACTTCATCTGTGCCTGTTTTAATCCCCTTGATGTAACTGATGTTGTGGTCCTGGGAGCGGGAGCTCAGACATCTGCAGTTGTCGTGCAGAAGCAAGGCAGAGCTGGACATCAGAAAAACAGAGTGAAAGACCCGCAAGGTATCTTGTACGTTACCCAGTCAAAAATGGTAGCCGCCAACTTGGCAGACAGTGGAGACAGTGCGGATACCATCAAAAACCAACTCAATGTCCACACAGCCAAGTTCATTGTGGCTCCCTGCAAAGTTATTGAGCAAAACAACCTCTTCAATAATCCATCCTCTAATGTACCTTGTCTCTGTTGTACGTGCAAGAAGACACCACAGATCACCACAACTTCCCAGTGCAACTGCTCAGGTTATTGCCCTGACACACCTCCTCTTCTACCTGCTGTGATCAAGAAACAAACAAAATTTTTCACACCATCAGATCAACTTACCACGGATATGCATCAGCAATACTCTGATTGGCTCATTATAACACACAACAAGATCTGAAAGGCTGCTGATCTCAACACCACCAATATCTCCCACCGGCCTTGTTTCTCCCTGATCAAACCATCAAGGAGGTTCTTAACCACCTCCACAAGCTCCAATTAGCCACTAACCTTCTAGCCTTGATCCACACCAACAAACTCCTTGTACCCCACATCAATCTTCATCTTCTGTGGCAATCTGTTGATGACATTCAGAGACAGATCAGTTAATTGAGCGCTCAAAAATTGAAGCAAAAATGTAATAATAATGACAATAAACTAGCAGGAGAGTCCAATGAGAGCATGGCTGCATGTATGGGTTTCATCAGGGCTGGGTCAGCAAAGAGTTGCAGATGTGTGCATTCAGACCTCCAACCTTACCTGATCAACTATGTAGTAGCACCCTTAGCTACCAACAGGAGAGTCTCATCTGTAGGCCAAAAAGCTCCACAAATATGTAAGTGGTCTTGTCCTGGCCTCCTTGCTCCCACTGAATTACTCACCTGTTAGATCCCTTGAGTGGAAAACACCACTCTTGGCCCCAAACTTCAAGTCAGTACAACTACCTGCTGTGAAACATAAATGTGCTGCCACAGCGTCTGAGAAAACCATGCTGAAGCAGCATGGTGGTAAATGTTTAATTGTACATATATCTGGCCTCGTGGTATGGCTGGTATTAGTGACTATTGAGCTGATGTCTTGATTAGGTTTTGGATGACCATCAGGATGATTGAACCACAGTTGCAAGATATGCACAGGTAAATGTGAGTTGTGGCCCCCTAGAAATTGACTTACTGTGCTAGCATGTTGACAGCTGCAAGAGATTTTAACACCATCATCTTTTTCAGAAGATCTCATACAGTGAAAGTCTAGTGAGCCTATTTATCAATTATATATAAAGTTATTTGTATTTTTTGCTGATGTGTTTAATGCTGGGAACCAGCTTGAGGCGTTGGCATTGATGGTGAAGGTGTGTAGGGCTGAGTAAAAAAAGGGTGGGGAGTTGATTGAAAAAAAGGGGTAATAATTGAGACTTGGAGTGGTTATGAGCTAAGCTGATAGGGGTTGATGGCATCTGAGGAAATGGTGGAATACTGGAAAAATTAGGGACTGAGATTGTAAAACAGAGAAAATGAGCACTGTCCACTGTGTTTCTTCAAGAGAGTAGATTCTCTCAATAGGGGCTTAATCTCTTGACTTTATCGCAGTGCCACATCAAAATTTTTGACATGTGATTGTATTACTAAGGTAAAGTACATCAAAAAACTGTTATCACCAACAGCTCAAGACCAAAGGCCTGAGCAACGGTTGCACCCTTGCCAACTGCGGCAGACCTTGTTTTCCAGAATGTCTCCCTTCTGGATCGATAGTCTGCTTTAGTCTCTCTTGCTGACCTAATTCAATATTAATATTGATGATAATCAATTAATATATTGTAAATAAGGTCTGCTCTAATTTAACAGTGGCATGTGGGAGCCCTCCCTTTGGTGCTATTAAGTCAAATCATGCTTCCATTATTATGCCAATCAGACTCCGCAAACTCACACTTATCACAGTCTCTGCCTCATGTCAAGTCAAAAAAGTGGTTGTTTGGTTTGTAGTAGCTCTAAAACATCAGATAACGGGTATGTATATAGATAAAATATGAGAATACTAATATCTTTCTCGAGCTATTGTGTTATGGCAAGCATTCCAACCCCTCAAAAATCACCCTGTGCATCAGAACAAAAACTTGACAGTATTTTACTTTCTATTCAAGATGCAAAGTGGATACTTGGTTATTTCCTCAGGCAAATAGATTCCTTGAGCATCTATTTTGCCTGAGAGATGATAATGGGAAGATAGTACAAAATTAGCAACACATGTAAGCACTTACCTTCCTCCTCAATGGGACATCTGCTCCAACAATGGGCCACCTTGTGGGACTTGTTTATGGCCAATCCACATAAGTCTCGCATCGCTCCAATGTTAAATTTGCTAATGGGCCTTTGTGGTTCCTGCTATCCAAGTATAGCAGGCAGACTCCTCGCCGGGGTGATGTTGTTAAAGTAGCCAGGACATATCACCCCAATCACCTGGTAAGGAACAGTTGTGCCCAATTAGCCCATCATTGACATGTTAGTTAATAGGGGACCATTGACACTTTGATGGCTCTTGCATTTATCAGGTCTAACCATTCCAACTTGTCAGCCCTCTGTTGTGGCCTATAATTTTCTGCAACCAAAGCACACTACTCCCAATTTTGTGTTGATAGCCGCCTTGACCGATCTATTGTCCAATACTGTCTATGAGGCCCTGAAGTTGATGGCCTATGCTATGCAGGACCAGCTCAAAGAGGCCACACAACCTGGCTTGGGCAGGTATTTGTATTTTTAAGTGGTTGATAACAACAGTCAAGCCTGTTCCAGACAATGAGACTATATAATAGGGCGGGAAAGCCACATGATCAAGGGTTTTGCTGGGATGGCTATTGAAATGCAGGATTTCAATCCTGCCGCTTTTGATATAGACGAGTTAGTGCGGCGTCAAAGGCTATGTGAACAAAAGGACTTACATCCAGATGACATCCTCAATGACATCAAATTCTCTCATATCCAACAAATAACTACACTCCATTTCTTCGAGACTCTGATTCAATTTGTCCCAGTACCATCAATGAATAATAATGATGTTCAGCATATGAAGGAAACTGTTGAGAAGAATCAAGTCACACCTACACATTGTACAAATATTATACCCTTGGCAACCAATGCTGTGGACAAAATGCATATGCAGGGCATGAAGGATGCGGTCTATGACTTCTTGTAAACGCAGATGATCCTGGACAATGAAACATTAGAGAGCAAGCTGTTGTGTTTAGTGGAGATGGCAAAGTATTTGATCAGATTTTACGGCTCAGGAAATACTTATCAATGCATACAGGGGACTTTGAGTCCATGCATTGTATTGTCCTAATGTTGGAGTTATGGCACACAAAATGGACTGATCTCAGCCAAATTATTAGAACCTATTGGGGCAAAGACTTTCCACATGATGCATCAATCTTGAGTTGTTTGGCACACACAGCCCAATGACCTACTCCCAATGTCCTAAAAAAGATTGATTTTTGCCAGGGATCACATCTACTGGAGCTTGCTTTAGATGCACCTCTGTTGAATTGCTGGCAGTGAGTGTTACCTGAACGGTGCTAGCCAAAGTGGTGTATAATGACCACTAAATTTACTAGAAACTATCTTGCATGTGATGACCTTATTTAATATTTTTCTACAGTGCACACAAGGAACAGCCTACCTTCTTTTGCTTTGTTGTTTGATACAGCCAGGATCCTTGTACAACTGTATGCTACAACCAAAACCCACAGTTCTGCTCAAAACCCCACAATGAACACAGATAGGCTGAATGCTGTGCCGCTTGGCTCACCATGGCAGCCTATATCAAGACTGGATGTGGATTTAATGTCAGCAGGGACAGTTGATAGTGGGGAAAATAATGTCTCAGATATAGACATAGATGATGGTCTTGAAGGATTATCAGACTTGTCAGAGAGTTCCCCAAAAGCAGCTCATCCAGAGAGAGACATTACCTTTGCAAATGCTATACTTTTCATATGGAATGGGCTTCTACGGCGTGAAGTTTGTGAGGCAAATACTATAGGTGATACAGGCCGAGTTTGGGAGGTCCTCAAAGTGTGGATATTCACTTTTGTAGGTTCTGGTAATCTGTACTATTCTCAGTACCTGCTCAAACTCTACTGCAATTTTAAGTGGGAGTTCTCACCTGAGCTGAAAGGGGCTATATTCTGTAACTGGCTTGTCAATCTTTGTGGAACTCCAGGATCCTTCATTGAATTTGATCTCCTTCAAGAGCATTTTAACTTCTGGCTGGAAAAAATGGTTTAGCATAAAGAGAAAGAGTTTGACAATACTTACTACTGTTGGGTCATTTTTATGCATGTGAGACAACACCAACAAGATACAATCTTGGGTCCTTCCCCATGTATTGCTTAGGTATATACTGCAATACATGAGGTACTGTACAGTTGTAAATAAAGTTCAAAGTCCAATGTGCAGCATGTGACTGGTCACATGTTGAGTCTAGACACTGGTCAGGTGATGTGTCACATAATCAGTCATGTGGCTATGAAAAGTCCAAAAAGTAAAGTAAAGTAAAGTAAATGGTCACATAATCAGTCATGTGACTTGGAAATGAAAAGTAAAAGTACAGAAAAGTAAAGCATAAGTAGGTGCTGGTATGTCAATTATAATAGTATATCTGTTTCTTTCTTTGGCTGGAAGAGGAAATGAAGGGGACTGTTTTGTTGCAGCCACGCACAACAAGCCATGGAGCTAGAGAAACAAGTAATGAGCTCAATGTAATGATGAAGAAATTACACACACAAAAAATCGACAAGCGCCATCCTGGTCGTAATCCTGGTTTTGTAGCTCAAGGTGATTTTGTTGCAGGCCTTGAAATGCTCAAAAATGGAAAAATCCATAAGTTCATTGCCAGGACTACAGCACATCTAAATCCAACAGAATTGCATTGTATTGTAAGGACTAATAGTGAAAAACAGGGAAGTACGGAAGACACCAATGATGACTGGGATTGGGATGTGATAGATAAGGAATTAGTGCCTCAGTGTAGTGTACTGGAGCCTCCAGGTGAAGCACCTAACTATTTTTAGTACTGTGCAGAGACTGTCAATAAAAATTAGCTTGGTATAAGATGCAAGATAGAGAGAAAACTTACCACTTGGTCACCAGCAACTAAAACTTGTTGAGTGTCCATTGAAGATGAACGACCTTGACTCTAAAATGTACTGTCATTGTCCTGTCCCATTATCAAAGAGAAAATAGCTTACCATTTTTGGCAAGCAGGGCCATTTGAGCTGTGTGTGAGTTGAGGCCTGCTCTATAAGCCTGTGCTGATGTTTGCATGCAAGTGCAAAAGCTGAAGGTGGAGGGACCAGATGGTCCTGTGAAAGTATGATCAACCAAGTATAGATTGGGATGTCACACAGGTGGAAGAGAGCTGATGGAAGTGAATGGATGGACTGGCTTGCAAAGAAGGATGAGATGTGGTTGGGGAGTAGAGGGGACTCAGAACATGGATGAAGGCTATCAAGTTTTGACTAAGTGGCTGGTGGCGGAAGATTCTCCTTATTGGCCCTATTCACCAGAAAACATAGCACATAAACTGATAGGTAAACAGTAAGCAATTGAGAGAACTCACCTATTGTTATACTCTTTTCAGCTCTTGTTGCAGCCACTTTTTTAGTACAGTTAGCCTTGGAGTTATTGCCCACACATCATAGTAACTATTCAGAGCCTCAATCAGTGAAAATAAAGCTGCACCGTTATCTGCAAGAAACTTCCAGTTGGGGATCAGGTCATTTAGGTAGATCTGAGAATGTATGAGGCAAAAACTGTTAACAAGGCAGATGAGGACACTATCAGTCCAAAAAGTGATGTGAGGGATCCAATTGTAGTGAGGTTCAGCTTTGAGGGCCCATTTTTGAGTTCCAAACTCCTTGAGAGATTTTTTTGCATGCTTTTTGGTTTTTTATGGGAGTGGAGGTGGTAGCAATGGTCCCACTTTGACTTTGACAGGTTTTTGAGGGCTGCTGGGAGGCAAACATTGAGGCAGTGGGGGTTTTGACATGGCTTGAGGTGGTGGGAGTGGCTCGCATGAACTACACGGAAATGAACACCTTGCGATGAGGCAATCAGTAAATGTGTGTTCACTTGGGTTCTGATAGACCAAGTTAATGGCTACCTGCAGGCAAGTATTGTTGGCATGAGCAGTGAGAAGCCGGGCCAAGCCTGATTCTATTCCCAAGGCTTTGGCTTCAGGTTCCACAATTGTTGTTACAATACACAATTTTTGGACCTTTAATATTTATTCTCCTCTTCAACTTTTTTTTGTAGTTTTCACACGCTGTGCCATGCGGCACTTTCCCTTTTTGTTCAAACTCCATCTCTCACGCAGTGGAGCTGGTCACACAGGCTGTGCCCTCTGACATCATCAGCCACTGCTTTCATCAACTGTACAGTACATAAGTACAATACCCTGTAGTAGTATAAATACCCAATAGATCCAGAAGACTCCTTAGTGAGTCCTCCTATTGTATACCCACAACTAACTCGGTCCTACCTAAGGGGTAACCACTCCCTCATCATTACTCTTTGCTTGTCTGAGTTGTGCACCAGAGTAAACAACTCTTGGTTGTTACAATTGTCATCTCTTTTTGTTTTGACAACTTGCAGTGTGTGCTGTTTTTGCCTTTCAGCCTGGAGGTGAGCTTGCTGATAAATAGATGCCTCAATATATGTATAGCACTGCACTACATTGTCTGTATTTCAGCCAGTACAACCTGTCTGTCGGACCCAGTTGCTAAGCCATAATTAACAACCTTGAGAATATTGGGGCGGTGTATTCCCGTCCCAAATGCAATAGTAACAATTACAACTTGTGTAGATGGGTTGTTGGCAAGAATATCAAGTGTTTTGTCATTGTATGAGGTGGAGGTGATTGAATACCAAAATTGGATGGCTTGACTTTGTTTAGAACCCTCAGGTAAGAAGCTGGAAAATTATTGAGCTATTCAATATGTTAACTCTCTGGTATTGCAGTAGATGACTACTTTTTTGCCCCAATTTAGAACCCATAGGATATCTGGAAATACATAGCTGCTGATATTATGGGTGAGTCTTTGGATGATAATCCAGATGTTTTGATGTTCACATAAATGACGCTCAAAGTAGAACTAGAGCTCCTATAAACTGCCATTGTTTCTGCCCCTGGGACAAGAGTAGCAGTGACCACTATAAGAGGTATGTTCTTGGGTAGCCTTTTGTGAAGCTGCCCCATCTGATCATACACTTTCCAGAAATTGGCTCCCTATGAAGATACAATGTATGCATCATCTATGTCCAGCATGATAAGGTTTTTGCAGTACACCTTGTCTCGGTCTATGAGGTCTGCTTTGGGTGTAGTAAGCTTCTCAGGACTCCAAAGCAATATTAACCACTTGCATCGATGTACTTCATCCACAAGGTCGGTCCCAGCCCATTGCTCGCGCTTTTAAGACAGTATCATTGTTGACAGATATGGCCTTGGTGTCTAGTGCACACATTTTGGCAGCCTGTAAATAAGTAAGCAATATTACTGTTGTAATTTGGTTGCTGTGATGCCTTACTTGTGTATCCCCTAGAGCAATGAGGGGAGTTATGAGCAGGAGGACTGGGTTTTTAGGTATGGGTCCAACTCCTGGTACCTGTTGATGAACCTGCCAGTGAGTGTACCCAACTATTAAATTAAAACTGACGAGCACCAACTGACCAGTGCTGTAGTTTGGGGTGGCATTCTATAATCCCTCACACCAGAGTCCTTTGTTTGAGCAACAGCCAACTTGGAGTTGATAGAAGCATGGTTTAGAACAGTATTAATATTGGTATTAGCATATATGCTACACTATGCAGTAGACTTTGTAGTATTCTAGTTTTTTTGGCATCCATTTGATGGCCTATACATTCTTCTCTCTTATGCCAATGAATGCCAAACTTGGACTTCACTGTTTGCTCACTTAAAGGGACCAAAGGGAGGGCTCCTGCAGCACCACTGTTAAATCGGACCAGACTAGGTCTGCTTATGGGAGACTAGGCTTGTAACCAACCAGTCCTAACACAAAAATCAGAAACAGCTGGTACACACGGACCTCATTTTGGCAGTATGCCGGACATCCCACCAAATGTGAGTCGGGACTTAGCAGAATTTTGGTGAAGCTGGTTAGTCAGCAAGCAGAACCTAATAATCACAACAAAAGTAGTATATGTTACAGTTGTAGTTTGCAATGGACTACATAGTGATAATGGGTCTCAAATAGGTGACAGATAGGAATATCACAAAATATTTATTAAGTATCAGCTACAACAATGATAATGACCTGTGGCCCCCTTTTGTACAAAATTTACACTATCTGCTGCACCAGTGGCTCTGTGTCCACCCGTTTTTGCATCTTGTAAACACAGGCAGAGCAGAGGGGAAGAATTACATCTATGTTGTAGGACATGTTGATAGTGAGGGAATATGGAGGTTGCAATCAGATAAATTCTGATGGTTTTCTCAGTTATGACAGTGTGGAGGGCTTAAAATAATGTAACCAGATGCATTTTACTACTCCAATCTAGTTCTACTGAGTAACCACAACCTACAAGCTAGCAACATTGAAATCTGGCTAAGTCCCATATCACAAATGTGTGACCTGCTATGCTATGGTCCACAATTACCAGTCTGTTTGCAAGCTCACAATTTTTCTAATTTATTGATTATTGAGTCCAAGTTTGGTTCTGGTCACACTCAGTAAAAAAAGTAGTCAAGTCAAGTCCTATATAGTCAGGCAATAGTCCGCTCTGCAAGAAATGTGTAATTGGTGGACTGAAACACCCAGGGATAGTCCAATTAAGTCACATTTCAGCAATCAGTCTCCCCATATTTTAGTTAAATTGTAGTCCATCCCAGTCCAACTATAGTCCGGGTTAGTCCATGTAGTCTTTGACTTAGTCCAGTGATGCGTCAAGGAATAGTGCTCTGTAGTCAATTTTCTAGTCACTCACAGTTATCTGTAGTCAAATCCTTGGTCACTTGTAGTCAATTTTCTAGTTGCCCTTAGTCCAATGGTAGTCTGAGATAGTCACAATCAAAAAAATTAATTTACAAATAACACAAAAATTATTACAAGTCTAAAACATGATGGAAAAACGGCAAAGACAAACAATCAAAATGCAACTGCAGCAAAAAATACAAAAGTTGAATCAATAAAGAAAAAAAAAATCATTTTACCCAAGAACGCTGAGATCTCAGCCTTAGAGGGCTACTTTTCAGGGGCCAGTGCAAGGATTGCAGTCACAAGATCTACAAATATATGTAACTATATAGCAAATGAATAAAAAATAGACTTACCTTTTTTTTCCCACTGTTTCAAGTTGGGAAGGTGTACACTGTGGCTTTTAATCCCATTCAATAAGCTTATACTTCATAAAACCCTGTAAAGAAAATCTGATGTGAGTAATTGAACTGAAGAAATTGATTACAAGCTTACCTGAAATTCTGCTCACTGTTCCTCTTCACTTGGCGAGTTAGATTCACCACTAACGGGCTGACTCTGGCTTGTAGATAGAATCTTGGCAGCCACAGAGGTGAGGATGCTCATGCTGAATAAGTCTGACATGGATGAAGGTTGGGGTGCCTGCAACAAGACAATAGATGAAGAGGGTGACGTAGGCTGGGGAATTGGCTGTGTACTGGCTGCAAAAAATGCTCATGTTGTGTTTGATACAATAATTTTTTCCCTTTGCTGTTTGCTGTAGGTAGAGCAATACCAGTAGAGTATGAAAAAGAAAGAAAAGAATATACCCCTCCAGCGTCCTAGAAACAAATGTGCCTTGCTACAGTGTATGTCTTGATTGCAGTGGCAATCAGATATCTGGCAGTTTCATGACTTCCTATCAACTTCCAAGATGTGAGTACAGTTGAAACCCTCATCCAGCTGGACTTGAATGTTGATGTCTCCAGGACAGGCCATGATTATCTTCATTAAATTCCGGTGAGTTCAGGTCCGCTTGTTTTATTTGCTCAACAAAACAAAGTGTCTCTGGCGATGGAGAACCAGACAAAAGTTGGGGTTCAAACCCATTGCATCAAGTAAATTGATGCCAGCTGTAGAGAATGGGAAATAATCTTGAGACAAAATAGCTAATAAGATGAATGAGTTTGAAAGAAAAAAGAAGAAGAAGAAAACACCTCTCAGATTATCTAAGGCCTTCCCCACCTTAATAAAATCAATATTGTACTTCTTTGACCCAGCAGGTAAGGCAGCAGCAAGGAATGATGGAGGTGCAATTAATTTTCATACAGGTACTGCAAAATAGGATTAACATTGAAATAATGGAAGAATAAAAGCACTTACTTAAAGTAGGCGGAGGCATTTGCAGAATTGTCTCCTGGAAAGTCAATAGCCATGTCAGAATCTGTTGTTTCCACAACATTACCCTCTGGCCATTGCTTTTTTGCCTTCTGATCAAGGCTTGAACGTGCTTGGCGTTGTTTTTGCATTTCAGTTCCTATACCTGATGAGACAGCACCAGTAAGAGTTCCATCTTTATTATCACCCTCTTCATTCTGTTTTCTAGACCTCAACATTTGTCATAATGTAAACTCTGCCTTCCAGTGATTCAAACAAAGTGCGAGCAACGGCTGCAGCACTTCTATTTTCTGCAGGCTGTTTTCACACTGGATTGGATGGACTTACCTATAATTGGTTCTAGAGCATTTTTGTGAGCCACATTTGGGGTCAGGAAGCTGTTCAAGTTTGTGGTGAATGATACAAGTGGAGGCCTTGATGGCTGCCCACTCTTGTGCAGTGATCATAGTACTGTCTCTATGACAGATAGCACACTCCATTGCAGGCCATGAGGGGTTTAGCACCATAAGTCCCACATCTTTGTTGTGTGTACAGTTCTCAAAGTCCTATAGGCTATGTAAGAGGCTGAGTTACTAGGATAGATTGTCAAGACTCCTCCACCATAATAACAAGTAAATAATTAGTAAATAGGTAGCATTGAATAGGAAAGACTTACACTGAGTACCCCCGCTTGTTAAGGACTGTTTGAAGTCTTGATTTCTTTGCTATTTAATTGCCAGACATCATCCTCAAGTTATTGTAGCTTTTTTTTTGTTGGCTTTTTGCTATTCAATATGACCTTCTTCTTCGGCCAACAGCCCCTTTATTTGACCTAGAAGTTTGTTCTAATAGGCCTGGGTCTCAAGGAATTGTTTGGCTGCATTTTGGTATTTTTGGATAGTTTCGCCAAAATGGCGGTTCCTGAGAAGGTCCTCAAAAGTTAGGGATTCAACAGAGAGCGGATCCAGCAATATTGAGGATGTGGATGGGAAGAAAAGACTGGAATTGCCGGATGATAATGTATCTGTTTGTTGAAGAAAATTAGACTCTATTTAAACATAGTCAACTGATTGAATGAAAGATAATAAAAAGATTATACCATAATAAATGCTCCCTGGGTAGTTAAATGAGTCAATTGAGAACAACAGGCAAAATTATGTTGTTAATGTGGAAAACAATGAGGGAGGCCTTGTTGTAATGTATTTGTCAGAAATTGTGATCAGAAAATGATTCTATCAGTTGCCAATCAATGTAATCAGATCAGTTTGATTATACTGCCTCAAGGCCTAAAGCTTCAAGTTTTGTCTCTTCCCTCAATGTCTTGTTTTTTGTGCCAAGTGCTTTCCTTCAAAGGAAAGAAGTACTAGAACCATTGAAAGTCATCTTCAGAGTGATATAGCCTTGATTGATACTCCAAATTTACAGCTTTCATCAGTATTCAGAGCTTATTTAGAGCTATGCATCAGACTCAATAATGATTTTCTGTCGAGTTTTTCATCAAATAATGCACATCACACTGAAGATAGTATGTTGATATTATTTTAATGATATATATAAGTGATGCTGACATAGTTTTCTAGATGATACTGTTGATAATGAGATGCAAGTTCACTTTTCTCATACACAGAACAACAAAAGTGTTGATACTGAGCAGTGTATGTATTTTATTGTTTTTATGTATCATATCATAATTATTTTTGTGTCAAATCTGTAGCTCATTTCTCTGACAATCAGAGCAGCAACTCAAAATATGTTGATGCTGATATTCAAGGTACTTTTTTTCTTTTCTTTTGTCTTGCATATTAAACACTCTACATTAAATTTGCAGCTATATCTCTGGATATTGAGATTGATGATCCTGATAGTGATCATGAGAGTAGTGAAGAGGCTAAAAACCAGGATATTTTGACATTCTCTGATCCTGATAGTGGTGGTTTGGATGATGATGCTATTGCCACCAATGATAATGGTGAGGATGATGATGAGATTATTGGCAATGCTGGTGACCTTCAAGGTGGAGGAGTTAACTATAGTGTTAATAACTCAATACAAAATTATAATACTATTGGAAATAGTCCCACTATTCAAACAGACCTGCAGGCAAAACTATTGGGTGAATACAAGTGACCGATTGTTCCACTATCCTCTGTTTCTGAGCCAAATGGCTTGACAGAATCAGAGATCCACAGCCTCTGACACTATATTGCATAGAAAAAGCCAAATGGCACTGTCAAGACATATGAGCTGCATGCCCAAGTATCGCAACAAGCTACTCAACTGGAAATATTATCATTGTATGCTGTCCACAAGCTGCATCAGGAAAAAGCCTTTTACTATATAGCAGAGGGGTTTATACATATGTGTAAATAAAGACTATTATAGCACCTATAGCACTTATAGCACTATATGAGCAATAAGAGCAAGGGAGCAACAAAAGCAATAATAGTATTATAGACACATAATTTAAAATGCTATACATCAGGAAAAACACTTTGGCTATATAGCAGAGGCAATACTATTTATGCTAAGTTTGAGCACAATGTTGTATGGCTAGCAAGGCATTATAATAGTTCTTATAACTCTAATAGCCTATATAGCTGTTAAGACCATAGTACATATTTATAACAATGCTTTATCCAAGTATAAGTTGTGAAAATGTGTAAAACAAATGACAAGTCCATGGAAGGTCAATATATTATACATGTATAGTATATTTTGTAAGTCTTTATGGTGTAGTGGATAAATGTGTGGTATGTGGCTGTAGATTGATTGGTCCACAAAAAAGTGGACCAACAGGTTGAGAGTTCAAACCTTGTGTGTGAATTTTTCTTTTTAAAATCAGCCACAAACTCTCTCATAGCTCATATAGTCAGCCATATGCTATAAATGCTATAAGAGGCTATAGCCAACTATAAAAGTACTATAAGAGCACATTGTTCCTGAATAGATGTTGGGTTTCTATTGCAGCTATGATCACTATGGCAGCTATATTTGCAACTATAGTACTATTAGAGTCTATATAGCCAAAGTATTTTTCCTGATGTACTGGATACAGTTGCATATGAGGCCGCACCTGGGGATTAGCCCAGTCCTGGATATTAAAATGTCAATAGCATGTGGAATCATGTAATGAGCAAATACATACTAGTGCCAGTAATTCGGCAACTCCATTTTGATAAAAGACATTGCCTTGTGGGGATGTCTTCATACCTATCGGAATGCCAATAGATTTGGTGAGGTGATCTTGTGTATGACGCAGCCACTGGAGTGAGGGAACATCATATACTCCCAGTTGTTTGAGCATCCAGATTATGAAATTTAGATGGTCAGTCAACAAACACAGTCTGGGGAGATTATCCAACATGTCTAATGTGAACATCTAATAACATGGTGGTTTGGAGAAGACATGAAAGAAATGGCAGAAGTTGGGTAACCACTGTTGAGCACCTGCTGACAGCACCATAACAATGCTTGCCAATAGGTGCTTGCCAGCAGTTTATGTGGTGTTACATACCACTTTTGAACCATATGGACACCATACCTCTTCTGCTTTACAATTGGCACTGGTGCCACTCTCATCATTGTTACCATTGTCTGATACATTGTCGGAAGAGTCAATTGCTATGATATAGCAGCAAAAATGTCAGTGATCAAGATGATGTGCAATCACAATTGATGGCTAACTCAATTCATCAATCAAAGCCTGCACATTAGTGAGACTTGCATCATTTTCTTGAAAACATGATTATATCACCTTCCATGTCATATAATAAGCCTTCTTGATAGCTAACATTAACAGATGGATCTTCTGCATTTCCCTGAGGAGGGGATTCTTGATCCTTGGTTGGTGGTGATATGTGCACTTGTGCAATTTCTGCCACATTATGTTGCGACTGGGGGTGACATCTTGCTGGCGCTGATGTTGCCAGATGTTTGTAGTAGTAAGTACAGCTTTCTGATATTTAGGCAGCTCAAGATGTTTCTTGAGGGCATTTTGTGAGAACCTGCAAGGGCCTGTAGAATTGACAAACATGCAGAAGTAGCACTTAATCTGGCTGCCTTTTTTTCCTCCCAAGCCTGTAAGTTGTTGAGGTTATTTTATGGTGTGTGATATAGGGTATAAGATTGTTGCAAACAAACTTGCCTTCAGGTAGAATTTTACACTTTGGAGCCATATAATCAAGATAAAGGCTCAGGGACTTGTACAGATGTGGCCTTCAAAAAATATCCTGTGCCAAATGATGGCCGATTTTTATATCTCATATTACTTCATCTTTTGTGAAATCTCTCCCACACTTCAACTCATAATGGTTAGATTTGAGGAGAGACTCACAGCTTACAATATTTCAAGTCCTCCAATATCACCAGGTGGTGATGCTGATAAACAATGCACACCATCTGTGCATCAAGAGCTGGAGCCCCCAATCTCAGGGTGCAGCTTTGGCATCAGCACAGGAGACTCTGAAGAAATAATGGCATCAAGAACACCCACTCAGGATAAAACTCACTCCTTGATAAGTATACTATCAACAACTCACCTCCTGAAATAACCTCTAGCGGCTACACAATTTGTAGATATTCATGCGTGCCAGAAAAAATTAAAGCCAGAAAGCAAACAGGAACTACTACAATTTGTCAAAGTATGTCACATTTTATGATTGTGTTACTAGCAATTATCTGACTTTGACTCTATATACATACAAGGCTTCAGCAGCTGAGCGTGAAATCATGCAGTATGCACTGCTGCTGAAGGTGGCCGAAGATCCCAAAAGAGGGGGACATGGGAGTGCTGAAGCTTGGGAAGCTCTGTTGCATGTCTGAGTGAGTGAGTTTCTTCCTCTGTGATGGCTGCATGAAACTTATCCTTAGCAGAAACAAATTGACAAATTTGCCATGCATATTTTATTATTGGCAAACACAGCCAGCTATATTGGGGCTTGGCCTGTCAAAGTGCTTATGGTGAGTGGCATTTGGTCTGATTCAAAGACCACGGTTATATTGTATCCCAGGGTTTTGTAACAAGTCATTTGTGGGGTTATCCTGGACTGTATGAAGATGTCGAGAAATGGGAAATGGTAGTGAAATATTGTTGTGACTGTCTTACTCAGCACTGCTCAGACATCAAAGAAATGGTAAATTAATACTTGATTGTGATATATTATGTACGCAATTAACACATACACACAGATTTTGCAAGCAGTAGACAAAAACAAGGATGTCATAGCATGCTGCCAAAAACTCCCAACTTATGGCCAGTTTAAAGCAAATGTGAATATTACTGTTCAGATGTGTGCCCAAGTAGCATTTATAGTAAGTGTACATCTTGCATTATTTGATAAATCTGACCTGTCAGTTCAGCGGATGATTTTAGAATTACTGACAAATGAAGAAAGCTTTTGGTTGCAAGTAGACCAGAACCTTCAAAAGGTTTGTGGTGAGCATAATTTTCCGGTGAAGGTAACCAAGTGAGCATTATTCTTTATTTACATTGATATCCCTTCTGATATTTTTTGAGATGGTTTGCGGGGGTACTTGAGGATGACAGAATGAAATGTGGGATTGGAAATGCAGAAAGAATCATTCAAGCATCCAAAGACCAAACCAACATTGACACTGCTATCAGTGCTGGGTCATTTAACAATATAAACCTTGGGGTGGATATCAACAAAAGGGAATGCCATTGAAATATATGTAACTAGAATATGTAGTACATTAAGTTGTAGCCTTCTCCTACCACAGTTCTACATTTTCAATACATATAGCAACAGCTCTAGTGCCAGCTCTAGCAAATGTTCTGATATGAGCCCAGAGCCAGCTAGAACAGATATGTACAGTATAATATACATCAGATTCAGATCTGATGGCCCAGGCTGTTCTCAGGTCCAAAGCACCTGGTACCATCTGAGATCCGCATGTGGGGGCAGGTGACAGGGCCAGATGGATGGGATCTGAGCCACAATTGGCAGTATAGTTGGGCAAGGTCAACCCAGCCACAGTCAGCCATAGTCAACATGTAGTCTAGTACAGTCAATACATAGTTTGATACAGTCACATATAATCAACCTGTAGTCACTGAACTGACAGCAGTTGAAATAAAGCCCAAGAACCTTGAATTTTTAGTCCTAATATAGTTATACATAGTCTAGAAAAGTCATACTATAGAAGGAACCAACTCCTTGCCAAAATTCACTATCATATTGTTATATTATGGTATTACACAGTGATTGATTCGAGCTTGCATCATTAAATGAACTTATCCTTGTAGATGATCAACCTCAATTTCAAGCAGCTATAATATCATCAAATCATATTGAGGAAACATTGTAACATAAACTTGATATAGACTGGTTATGCAGCCTTAGGGATCAAGCAAAAAAGTAGGTCCTTGGTTGAGTGGGGTGAAAAATAAGTCTGAAATAAATAAAGTAAACTAACTATGGTATAGACCAGCTGTGTGTGTAGAAATTATATTATGTAAGCAAACTTTGGGTCTTTGCCCAAAGATTTATTCTGTGATTATAACCGTTTTTTTGTGGCTATTAATTTTCACATGGTATTTACATCTGTTTGTTATATAAGAAGCTTTGTACCTAAGTTATTACAGCATTTGTTTGCCCAAGAATTCTTCTCCTGCGCTTGTTTCCGCGCCCTGAGGGTTTAAATATCCAACAGTGTGGTCTTAGAAGATAAAACATAAAAGTAAATCCTTAGTTAAGCAAGGTGGTGTTACGATAACACAATTTTTGGACCTTCCCTTTACTTTTATTCTCCGCCTTAACCTTATACTTTAACCTTCACACATGATGCTACGCGGCATTTCCCTTTCTCGCGCTGCGTTGCCTTTTTTCTTATTTTAGACGCAACTCTCTCACACAGTGGAGCTGGCCATGCGAGCTAGGCCCCATGACATCATCAGCCACTGTCTCTATCAAACTGTATAGTACACATGTACAAACAAACCTGTAGTAGTATATATACCCTAATAGATCCAGGAGACTCCTCAGCGAGTCCTCCTGTTGTATACCAACTAACTCTCTGCGTCCTAAGGGGTAACCACTCCCTCATCATCTTCCTTATAGTGTTTTCTGTGTGCGCCAGAGTAACTAACTCTTGGTTGTTACAGGTGGAACATGTGGTAGAAAAATAAGTCTGAAGTGAAACTAGCATGGAATATACTTTATACTTATCATCATCTTGTGTACTTGCATTTTGTACTTCAAGTTCCTCCTCACTCAACAACTCAAGCCCGGTCTCTCTTCTTAACTGGAAATTTTGCAAACAGTAGCTTTATTTGCTTTGGTTGTGACAATGTAGGGTAGTAGAAGAGAAGGGCTTTCAAAATTTCTCTCTCATATATAATCTTAGCCAAGTTGGAGAAGGGTGCTTTTTTAGACTGAATTTGGTGACCATTTCTCCAATAGTCTTTTCCACAGTAGCTTGTGATCCAAGGCGGGGTGATCCATACCACTCAATATGAACAGGAGCATGAATTAACTGAGAGACACATAATCTAAACCTCAAAATTCTCTCAGGGTCTATTCCAATATAGATTCTTTCAAAATCTGTCAGGAATAATTTCATAAGTTGATGAAATTTAGTTAAATCATCAGTGCTCCTTGCTTTAATGGTTATACAAAATTCAATTCTTGCCACCAAATGAGAGAAGTTCTGATTCACTGAGTTTATCCCTAGCTCAATGCTAATTGGTATCATGTACCAATAAAGTAGTGCCATCCATTCATAAATCTTGTATTGACTTTGTCTTGTCGGATGAGGATCTCTGACAGGGCCATAAAATGATGGTGGTAAGGTTGACATCTCTAAAGTAACCAGTTTACCAAACCTCTCTGCCTTTTGCTTGTTGAGATGGATAGGCTCAGATGGTGAGCTATGGACTGTCCATAAATCCCATATAAATGCAACAATATTTTTAAAAACAGATGGAAAGGATCCATTGGAAAAAATGAAGGGTGAACAAATGCAGGGCTTGCTGCTGCTAAAGGCATCGGGGAGATACCTATCCCCTTTGTAATCATAGCACAGAGACTCTTAGCTGTTGTAGTATTGAGTTTGTTGATTGTAGCCCAGTAATGTTTTTCTGTGTGCATTAGTAATTTATTCAAGTTATATACAGGACAATCAGGATTATACTTTTGATTTTCAGGTGGTGACAAAGGGTAGTATTGAGCTTTCGCACCCTTTTCAAGGTTGGACCTTGCACTTTTGACTAAAAAAAACCTATCATCAGGTTTTGAGGTATGCCCTGCTATTCCATTCAACTTTGCTGAGCCCAGCATGTCTCCAAGTATCATAAAAATATACATTTGATTTATGAAGTAGGAGAAATCTATAGCATCCCACATCCATATGCTTTCACTGCACTTTGTTGCATCTTGGAAAAGTGGATATACAAATGAAATGACTCAATATTTCCTGGGCTACAGGGACCTGGAATAGCCATAGTTATGATAATGTTGTTGGATTGATACCTCACTTCTGGAGGTAAATTGAGCAATATAAAAATCAATATCTAAGTATCACACTATTTCTTCATTGTAAGCTGGGCACCATCAGTAGATAAAGCAAATGCAATATTATTTTTGTCCTGGAATTATCCCATGTTCTTGTAATAATACTCATGAACACTCCCAGTAGGAAAATCAGAATATCTTGGCTGATTATTGGAACACTAAGAGCCCAGTGCAAGTCACTTCAATGTTTCTTATAAGCATTTGTCCCTCTATCTCAGGAGTTTTGATGACTCTTTGTTTGCAAACATTGCTTGGATAATGGGGATAAAAGAAACATATAATATTTATACTTTAGACTTTGATTTAGATCCAGATAAGTAGTATATGCAATACAGCTCCTTGGACACATATCAACATTTATTGGCTCAACATTAGCCCAAGAAGCAGCCACTGTAGTATAGCATGTTAAATTTTGCGTCTATAATACTATTATTGCTTTTGTTGCTCCCATTGCTCTTATTGCTCATGTAACATTCTAATCACTATGATCATACTATAGTTACTCTTATAATGCTATAAGTGCTATAGGTGCTATAATAGTCTTTATTTGCACATATGTATAAACCCCTCTGCTATATAGCAAAAGGCTTTTTCCTGATGTATTAACCAAGAAGACCAGTGAAGTATGGCATGCAGACAAAGTAGCCAATGATATCAAGCCTGAGTTTCAAGCTCCAATGTGGGCTGATGGGCATACACATTATTACTTGGGGGAGTTATGCCAGCTGATGGCCAACTTATTTGTGTGATGATTCAGACTAACAGATAATGGCCCAGTATATGGGGATGGTGTTCCTGTGACACATGACACAGCTGTACATCTTTTGTCTTACTAACTATGCATCTCATTCTTAATTGGTACGGCCTTTATAATCTGGGATTTATTGCTCCCTTGCACAATGTGGATGGTTTGTACTTTTATTACAGTATTGGCCACTTTTTCACTTTCCTGACTCACTCTATTATGTAGAATCACTGTCCAACCGGCACAATAAGTATAATGGACTCAGTCCCTTACGGGATATTGCACAAGACAGGCGGATGTACACATGTTATATCAAAGAATGGGGGGATGATGTTTCAGGAAACCATAGCAAGCAGTATAATGAAAACCGTAACATTTATTTTGCTCATGCAAATTTTCCCAACTCTCCCAGGAATGCTTTGTCCACTTTTACTCAACATCACCTCATGCGAGTGTATGTGAGCAGTTTGATACTCTCATATCAGACAAAAATATGTATGTATATGTATTTTTTGTTCTCCATTACTCACTCTCTAACAAATCTGTGGAACAAAGGGACAAAGTGGCACACCGGCTTTAATTGTATGGTCTCTGAGGAGATAATTTTCCGTATTATCCCTATCTCCTTGGCTGCAGACAATACACAACAATCAGAGCTATGTTCTCATATTGGCCTTAAAGGAAATTTCTGGTGCCGTGTTTGTTATCTGGGTGGTACAGAACAGCAGTTAGAAACTGATGAAGCATATCAACAACATTTTACGGTGAGGTGGAGACTTATTTGTTATATTTGAACAATTAATAAGGCAACTTCAGCCTGGCCAACCACGTACACCTGGTGAAACCAGAAGAGCTATCTTTCAACAGATTCAAACAGCAGCACTTGGTGTGCAAAAACAAGTCACTATAATACAACAACAAACAGGAGTAAAGGACAAGTTGGCCAAATACTGGATTCAAATCCTTATTACAAAGGCACCAATTTGCAGCAGGCCTGGATTCACAATAAAGACACTCAAGATGTTTGTCTCCGGGTCCCTCAAAACAAAGAGTGTAGTGCAATTGTTAAGGAACTTGAAGGCATAATTCAGCAAAACTTGCTAGACTAGCTATATCAGCAACCAGCTGACTGCTACAATTTCATCCCAGAAGATTCACCTCTGAGACATGAAATTTGACCGGGGCATCACTATAGTTCCCTCCTTGATGTTGAATGTGATTGTCTACAACACTTAAACTCTGAATACTCTACTCATTGATGCATACAGCACTTGATGTACACCAGAACATGCCTGTGGAAATCCTTCATACCTACTTGCTTGGAATAGATAAGTATGTCTGGCACCTCACAAACACAGCATGGACACCGGCCCAGTGCCAGCTTTTTTCCACTTGCCTTCAATCCTCCTCAATAGATGGCTTATCTATCCCTCCTATCTGTGCTTCTTATATAATCCAGTACTGCAATAGCCTTATTGGTAAACATTATAAAGCTCTTCAACAACTTGCTACTTTTCATCTCGACAAAACCTTGGTAACACCACTACAGCTAGACTTGTGGAAGGCAACTGACAAACTTGGAGCACTGGCTTGGACCCAAAAAAGTCTGATAATTAAGGGGCAAAGAAATACACAAAGGCTATTTACACTCTCACTCACAACTTTTCACCTGAAGAACTTAAAGCTGGGACAAGGCTACACATTGAGCAACCTCAGCATCACACTTGGCTTGAATAAGATCAAATAAAATTTTTTGAGGGACTTGAACATGAGGTACTTCCTGTGTGGCTTCAACCAGTGTGCGGTCACCATCAAGTTGAGCAGCTGAAAATGGACCATAGGCAGAAGGGCTGAATTGTATGGCCAATATTAGTGACTTGTCTGGCTCCATCAGGTCAACATAAGGAAGGTTATCAAAAACTGAGGGTTGGTCACTGTTCTTGGGGCATACACGGCAAACAAGCTTTTGACTACAATAAGATGATTAGCTAATATATACAGAATGCAGATGAACACCAATATATACTCACTGCTTGATTTAAGGTTCAGTGAGTGCAGGTGCTTCATTTTCTTCATTTGATTTCATCTGTTCTTGAATTGACCTGTGAACATGATTAGTGCTTGATGGGATTATTGGTAAGTAAAATAGATGTACTGCTTTTTTGAGAAAATAGGGTCAGTGCCTATAGATGGGACATTGAGGCTCTCAGCACAAAGTGTTGGTAAGTTTTCTGGGGAGGCAGTCATAGCAAGCTATCTCAAAATCAGCGAAGTATCAAAATGTGGGCAGTGAGGTGCTTACCATTACAGAGTGTTCAAAAGTTGCTATATACAAGATGGTCAATATGGTCAGTATGTACACAAAGTTACAGTTCAGAGCTTCAGGTTGAGAAAGCAGAACCACTGTGGATTGTGGATGTGAGCAGAGCATGGGAACAAGCTGAAAAATCCACTCAGTATTTGCCACTGTCTCTCAGACCCCTCACCAATGTGTATATCCCACTCTGAGCTGTTTTGCTCCACGTGCTGAGCGTGTCATTATTTGAGAGTTGCGGTACTGTGCTAGTAATGTGGTTTTTGGGTCTCTGTCTCCATTGGACTCTAAGCTGTTGTGCTCCGCGTCATGTGCACATTGTTGTTGCAAGAGTTTCTGTGCCATGTTGTCTTGCCCACTTTTTTAGGCTTCAATTTATCTGCAAGGTCAGACTTGAATTCATTTACTTCATTCAAAAAACTGACATGGATATTTTCAGACCTCGAAATATTGTCTATAATTGGTCAGAGGTTTATGCAGATTTGAGATGTGCCGAGGACTGTCACCATCTGTGAAGCCTGATGTATGATACAGCTCACCATATAAATATATACTTTATCATCTTGTTATTCTAGTCTCGTTGTTCTGAATGATAAAATGAGGAGAGAATTGCATTATAATAATAAAGATATAAGAGTGGGATTTGGCATGGTAGGGACATGTAGATAGCCTGGACTGGGTCTGATTTAACATGGGTGTAGGCCCCAGATGATACCAATTTTCATATAGACCTCAGCTACATCAGAAAATAGGGGAGACGCTGGCATAACCAGGCAGGGTTGATATGTGGGCATCAACGTGGCTGCAGTTTAGCACGACTTAACAAGGTTGACCATTGCAAGTCAGAAAGACGTCTCATTTGTAGCAGAATGCAACCTTGATGCAACCATATTACCAGGCTGTCAATGTCTGTCCAGTTAGCAGCATAAGGATTACAATAAAATAGCTAGTCGTAGTGGTTGATATACAAGTTTTCCAGACAGATAAATTCTTGCATTACAAAACATGTTGATGTGTGCTTGATCTAGTTGTGTCATTCAGAAACGGTATAGCAAGGGATGGTAATTGATAAGGAAGTCTTCAACATCTGTTTGCAGGGTTGACAATAACATTCCATTCTGGTGACAGGGTGTAGTGTATGACATCCAAAACAAATGATCACATAACCAACAAAGTTAATTCATAGCATCATTAGCTCAATGAATGTCATTTATGGAGAGAACAATGATGGTGGATAGTAGACATATATATACATAAAATCAAGGCACAGAGTCCGAGTCAGGCTCCCTCTGAAGAAGGGCTAACAATTTGGTAGCAATGGGAGATCCGGGCAATATGTCAAGGTTTTCGTTGTACATGTTAATTTTGCTGTCGGAGAGAATTCAATCAAGACAGTTTTGAATATGTCCGCTAAAACTCCTGCAACACTGGGATCCTCTATCTACAAGGAGATTGACAAACGATGGTGTCCGAGAACCGTATTTGGATTCCTCAATATAAATGCATACCTGACTCAAACACTTGTCAGTTGAATAATAGTGAGAGTGTAGGAAGAGGTACCATTGCACCCAGGTCAGATATGGTTTGCTTTGTGACTTGTTTCAACGGCAACCAATCTTGAGCTTCTTTGTTCCAACTCAGGACACCCATGAACTGAGTTGAATCCTGATAAAAGACAATTTTGTCCAGAAGGTTGCAAAATGCGCAACTCTTGAAGTAGCGTATACCAGTGGCCGGCGCCTAGCATTGGTCGTAAAGCAACTTGAAGGCAAGAGAGTGGTGTGAACTGGACTTACCAAAAAGGCAACATCATTTACCTCTCCAGTGGGAATTTCATGGAAGAAACCATATGCGGTCTTGGGATCCCATCAAAGAAGCAAGGCAATGGAGCTTTTGACGGCTAGTGTCCACTGATTGGGCCAGATGAACGCTACATCAAAATCAATGTAGGATATTCTGTACACAAGAAATTGGACCCTCAACATGAGTTTGACACAGTAGAGGCAATATGCCTCATAGCCTGGTTTGCGTACTGACACTGAGTCAAGGACAAAACCTGTAAAATAGTTAGTGTAGATTTGTTGAATGACGTGACACAGAAATAAACTCACAATTGACTTCTAGAGACAACACTTGTTCCTGCTGGTATGCAAGGCGATACTGCCGTTGATGGATGATGTAATGATTTTATGGAGAGCTTGCTTTTTGGGAAACATCAAAATGAGTGTGAGTTTGACATCCACAAAACAAACCGCTGTAACTTGCACCAAGTACCACCCAGGGGTGACATTTCTGAACGTTAACAGGGATTGTATGGTATCTGTATATAGTGAACAAGAGTGTGCCCTTGCGCGAGTGAAAGATAAGGGACGTACCATGGGAGTTGACTAAGATGCCTTCAAACCAGTGTCCCCCAACCCCATCCAAGTCTGTTGTCGGACCGGTATGAATCATCAGAGCACAAAATGAACTCACAAAAATAGGATCACACACCATATGATCCGTCTACCTGCTGATCATCATCGGGAAGTTGACCTGGCTGATTATTAGGGCTTTCATGTGAATGTGCAGGTGTAGTGACAGGTGTAAGTGCAGGAGTTCTGGGCAACAGTGTAAATTTTGATGACAATGTGAAAGGGGCCCAGTACCTCCACGTATAATCCTTATGGGAGTGGCGTGTGCTAGAGTGTACAGGACCAGATGCAGGTTCTTGGGGTTCGTCAGCAGATGCCGGCTCTTAAAGTGCAAGTGGTGGGTCAGACAATCAAAACTCTACAAATTAGGCCAATGTCAATATGGTAAGGATGAAAAGGATACGGACAACTGATGTGTAAGACTACTAAACCCCCCGACCAATTTCAGATTGCCACCTCCGTTGAATAAACACTCTGCCACCAAAAGTAGATCTAAGTTGGGAGCGACATTGGCTCCAGCACCTTGAGTTTCCACGTCTTCAGCTGCAAAAGGTGCCCCCAGATCTGTGATTGCAGATGCTGAAGTCAAGAGAGAGTGATCTAGCGTGGTGATGAGCAAGAGTTTTAACACCCAAGTGTGATGACATATAGCTCACCATGAGCGGGAATATGGTCCAGGCCAAATACATTAGCAGCTATGACGTGAACGAGTTCCTCATCATAACGGCTGTGAAGTCTTCTAATAACTTCATCAAAATAACCATCGTAGAAACAGGAGCTGGGTATGATGCCAGCATCGCTAAGATCTTGTAGAGAGCCAGGGACTTGAAATGATACATTGTCAGTCTCGTCAATGTTGCCTGTGGATGTTGATGATGATGGATTGGACATGGTGGTGAGTCGAGCACCAATTGAGGCTAAGCAAGTTGATACAAATATGTCTCCTTTGCACTGACCTATCATATCAGCCTACGCATTGGTACAGATTGGATTCTAAAGGGACAGTGCACCCCAAAAGATGCCAGTGCTAAGAAAAGAACAGAGTAAAAAGAAACAACTCACAGACTTGGTCCTGAAGCCCTCAACCTCAGGTTGAGGTAACACTGCTCCAACCTGAAAATTAGCTGTTATGTCTTGATAACATCGAAGGGTCAGAGTCCGGCCCAGATGATTGCAAGATTATTGGAAGTTGGGAAGTTGTGCCAGTGAATAAGGCACTAGGTTAACAATGGATCCGGATGTCCTGACCATGCATACAAGACCCTTGGTAGAAGTAGCATATAAATATACAACAGCAACCATGACTTTTTAATAGCCCCAGTTTGCAAGCGTCAAATGGCCATGAGGATTAATAGCTGTTACGAGAATGGGTCTTGCATACCCAATGAACTTGAAGAGGGAAACTATTATGCAGCAGGTGATTTTTCATGTACCCTTGACAGCATTCACCACATCAGAGAATCAGATATAAACCTGAATTTGGAAGTAGCGTGAGTGACAAAGCACGTACTTGGAACAGGGAACAGCCCTTATCAGAAGACCCGAGCTGAAAACAGGATCATGATAGTTTTTTCCAGGAAGCCTTGGAAGCCGCATGTGTTACACACCAGTGCCAAAACCTTTGGCAGCTGGCCTTCAGTTTCTGCTTTAAAAGTTGATTCTTCCTCTTTGAACATATTGGACCTGTGTAGATAGAACTGAATTAGAATTAATGGCAACTCAAACTGCCTCAGTGTGCTGCCAGTGGACTCGGATGGGTTAAACAATTATGACTTGGAGTAGTAATATGAGTACATTTACATACCTCTCATTTTGGGGTCCTGTGAGTTTCTCACATAGTTCTTACATATTTAAAGTTTGAGAATAGGTTAAGGTTGTTTCAACCCCAAGGCCTCTACGTCTGGGTGGGTGGACCTAAAACGCCAGTACAAATAACCCACCCAAATTTCCAAGATTACTAGCTCACTACACTACATTTGCACTTCAAACTCCATCCTCCTACAATGCCAAAGACCAGCAGTTCAAAGTCCACGCAAGAATTCTACTAGTACTCGGTCCAGCCTGACTCCTGTGTCCAGTCCTCATGGCACGTTGAGGGGTAAAAGTATAATTGCACCCCTGGTGAGTTATCTTTGAATGTTTTTTGAGAGTATACTTACTTTTTGGTAGGCCATTCCGCTTCAGGTGGGAGCAGACGGCGCTTCTGTAGAAGACCTAATGGACTTTGCTGAGGCCGTAGAGAATGAATGTATTGCCAAGCAGTTGTTTATTGAAAGGAGAGCAAGGCGGAGTCACTTGGAGGCTAAGTTGTTTTCCACCCAGCTTCCAGGTGCCTCTCAACAGTTGGAACAAGCTCGTGTTGGGCATAGCAAGGTGACAACGCTCGTTCAAGAACTCAGGATGGAGATAAGCATACCTCGCAGTAACTATCACTGTTCCCTTCCATACCAGGTCTTAAAATCGTGGGCCCTGCGAATGTCGTGTAGTGGACTTGTATCACCGCTCTCTTGTGTCCTTGATCCGTGAAAAGCTTGCGAACCCACAGGATGATCATCATTTTCACTACAAGCCGTACCAACTATTGTGGTGTCCACCTCATCAGTCTGGCAAAAGCCGTGTATATGGTGAGCTATACACCTTGGATGCGTTTTTAGAGGCCCATAAAGATCTGCAAAATTCACCTCCAGAGCCTGGCTGCAGCTTGCCACGTGTTGTCGCAGCACTTATGCTATGGTTGGATGCTACACATTTAACCTCCTTTGGCAACTCAAAGCTATGGCCTCTCTACGTGTACTTTGGTAATGAATCAAAGTATCGGCACTCCAAGCCTTCATGTAATCTCTGCAATCATGCAGCCTACTTTGAGGGGGTTTGTTTGTTCTATGCAGTCTTCTGTGACATGGTTACTGATACCCGCCATCTGTCCTTAGCTGCCTGATGAATTCAAAGATTTTGCCACCAAACATGTGGGCGACAAGCTGAGCGACACCTTTTTTACACATTGTCACCGCGAGTTATTTCATGCTCAATGGAATGTTCTTCTTGATGAAGAATTTCTTAAAGCATACAAACATGGTATTGTCATCATGTGTCATAATGAGGTCTTGCGATGTTTCTATCCACGCATCTTCACATACTCTGCAGACTATCCAGAGAAGTACAGTTTTACACCTTCTTCCTTAACAGATAACTAATTGTTTATTGGGCTACAGGATTCTGATCGCAAGCATAAGGAATCTTGGCAGTTGTCCATGCCCCCGTTGTTTGATCTCCATGGTTGATGTTCCCAATGTTGGGTCAGAAGAAAACATGCAACGGCAAACACTGTTAGCACGCATGGACAACAGTGAACGATGTTCTAAAGTCATCACAACTCAAAAAATGATCTATGGACAAAACTATGCAGTTACTAGCGTCAGAGTCAATGATATCCTGAAGCCCGAGTCCATGGTACCTACTCTAGTAAGTTTACCAGTTCCTTGAACATGTGCATTTACTGATTGCGGTATGCCATATTCAGAATGCATTCTCGAACAAGCTTGGTCCATTTGGGTTCAATGTGTATTCTATTCTTGTTGTTGACCTCATGCACGAGTTCGAACTTGGGGTATGGAAATCCATTTTCATACAGCTAAGGATCCTTGAATGTGTGAATACTTGCCTTGTCAACACATTGGATATGTGGTATGTGTTGTGCAGCTTTTCTATATTGTGACTATTGGTCGCAAAACGTTGGATTGTATCCCTTCCGAAAGTAGGGACTTGACAATAACTAGAAAGTATTTAGAACTCTGAGATGAAAAAGATGGCGGCTCACAATTTTGAGGATCTTTTGCAGGTATGCATACTTGTATTTGACTTACAAATGCAATCTAATAATATGTGGTGCGCAATCCCTGTGTTTGAAGGCCTACTTCCAGAGCCACATAACACAGTAATCCTTCATTTGCTGTTTTGTCTTGTTCACTGGCATTTTCTCGCCAAATTACGAATGCATACTGACTACACAATCACCATTCTAGAAAAAGCAACCAAAGTCCTTGGGGAGGGACTACACAAGTTTGCCAGTGAAACATGCCCTGCATTCCGCACTCGAGAACTTCAGCAAGAAGCTAACGCTCAACAGCGCCGCCAGATCCAGGAAGCATCAAATAACCAATCTTCCAATGCCGCAACCGCCAGCAATGCTGTCCCAGATACTAGACATCGGCCCAAAACTTTCAACCTACAAACTTACAAACTTCATGCCCTTGGAGATTACCCTGCTCAAATCCGGCGTTTTGGCACTACAGGTTTGTACTCTACAAAGCCAGTAAGTACATACCCTACTACTTTCTTATGCTTCTTACAATATCCTATCAAATCAGGGTGAATTAGAACATTGCACGGGGAAGTCTTGATATACCAGGACTAGTTGCAAGCAGTATACCAAACAACTCACAAGTATGGAATGACGGCAAGCCCGCCTATGCCTACTATATATATAAAAATATTGTGCGACCGCAACTGAGAACCTTCAGGAAGCAAACAATGTTAAACCAAGCGATCACCATTTTATCGGAAAGTCTCAGAATACTCCAGAGCACGTAGGCAAGTTGGTAAATAAATATGCAGAAAATCCTGCTGACAAGGTGATGGCATTTTGTGAAGCCCTTGATACACTGAAAATAATGTTATCCATTGAGCAGGATTTCATCTTGAAGTTAAAGGCACATCTCTTTCAATGCACTCACATCCCAGCAGTATCAACAGCAAACCTTCAGTCTGGTATGGTGGACACCTCTATATCGGCCAATCTGCTCTGATATAGTGCCAGCACAATGCTGGGGCAAATTGTCTTCAAGAATAACTGTATATACAACCATAAGATCTTCCGCATCAACTACACGACCTACAACATTCAGCGAGCCCAAGACGTAATCAATCCTCAAACAAACCATTGCAATATTATGTTGCTAGCTCACCCCGACTCTAGCTCATCATCAGCACACCCCTTCTTGCATGCTCAAGTCATAGGGATCTACCATGTAAATGTAATTTCCATTGATTCTACCAACATTGACTATCGACCCAGACAGATGGGATTTTTATGGGTGAGGTGGTATGAGCTTCAAGCTTGTGAGCCCCATCAGCTTGCTACACTACACTTTGTTCCTATGGCCGACAATGATGTGTTTGGCTTTGTTGATCCTGCCGATGTGCTTCGCACTTGTCATCTTATCCCTGCCTTTGCCAGGGGCAAATCACGCCCGGATGGTGTTGGTTTGTCAAGATGCGTGCAAGATGGTCAAGACTCAAAACTATATTATATCAACAGGTATGTCTGTAACTACTTTTATTTGATCAGTCAATTGAGTAATGGTTAGGTTTGTTGATCGCGGCATGGCAATGCGATATCAATGGGGTCTTGCCGTCAGACACATTTACACTCAGGGTATTTTTATCCGGTCATCACAGGCTACTAACATGCCGGGCACAGAATGTCATCCACATACTCAGAGCACCTCCACGTATCATTCACTGGATTGTGTCAGTGATGAGTGATGTTGGGACAAATTTACATTCACCTCACTCCAATCAAACACACAGCCCTCCTAAAACCCGTTTCAATGATTCTGGCATGGCTGACAAAAATATTGATGATGAGGATCCAGGACTGAGCTTAGCAAATTGTGAAAGGGAAGGTTGGGACTTGGACAACTTGAACGATATAGCAACAGGGGAGGATGCTGAAGACAATACACTGGCACATGATTTGGAGATGTTTGAGATGTATGGAATGGAGGAATCACCGGAGTTTGACGCGGACTAATAGGTAAGCCAGGGTGGACAGCTGCACACTTAAAATCCTTTTCTCCTGTAGTTCGAGTATGACCGCTCAAGTTGTTATGCAACACCTACAAGTTGGCCGACGATACACCTACAAGTTGGCGGACGATACACCTTACAAATACAATTAACAGGTGCCCTACTCAATGTAATCTCCCACTGCGTGCTATACCAGACTTGTCCTATCACAGTTATCCCATTTTTCTTATCACATACCAGTTTTATCCATGATATTTTTTACAGCACAACAAAACTCAGGTGGCACAAAGAAATGTCATAAGTTTAAATATGCTAATCATCCCCTCTTTGCTCTGGTTTAGGTGTCCCAAACCCCTCTGCAAGCGCTAGCTGGTAAGATAGATTAATGGGGGTAGCTATATAGAGCTCTATAGCACTATAAGTACTCATAAAGCTATTATAGTGGTCAAATCTGTTATAGAACCTCTGCAATCTATAGAGCCTTATATAGCTCTATAAATGCTCTTATAGATGTTGGAAATTGTTGTGTGGCTAATTGAAAAAAATTAACTCAAACAGGATTTGAACTCTTAACCTGCTAGTCAGCTCTTGGGTGACTAAGCAACCTATAGCCACACATCACATTTATCCACTACACCATGAGAGCTTATAAAATATATTATACAGGTGTTATATATTGACCTTTTATGGACTTAGATTATTTCTTTACTCCATCCTTTTTAGGAATGTAACCCTTCCTAAGCTGTTCATACCTCATCTCTTTCTGGAGCAGAGAGTGGTATCATGTGTCATTTTCTCGGTTTGAAGGTTTTGTAATGACCAAGAGTTTCTTACTCTGGCGCACAACATGGACAAGCAAAGAGAAGAGAGAAAAGGAGGGATCACAGTGTTCATTAGCTAGTCTATATATAAAGTTCACAAAGGCAACATACCTTTGGTCAATATCATCTAGTATTTTGTTTGCACAAGCTGAGCTATAATTTTGTGTGATATATTCTTCGACCCAGGTGACTAGATGATCCTTGAAGGTACCCTTGATAAGCTGATGAAGTAAGTTGGGAGCCAAGAGCTCATGAATATCAGCATGTGGAAAGTCATTGGTAAAAGGCTTAGAGGAACCGGACAAATTATATTAAAGATCAGATAATACATTGAAAACACAAGAGAGGACTTACTACCAGGTCCCCTACAATGCCATACTCATCCCATAATACACCTAAATCCAAACAATTGACAAGCACTTCTGTATGCTCTTCTGAACGTCTTTTGCTTTCTCCATCAAGGTTGGTTGGTAGCACTGTACAGCTGATTGAAAAATATTTGAGCATGAATTACTATATAAGGATTAAACTGGACTTACCGTAGACACCATCCCTGGACAATACAAGCCAGCAATGCTTGTTCTGGGTAATCAGCTATATATGGTCCAAAAATGACTTGTCGGAGATGTTGATCAGGGTATTGTGCTACCTCGGGACTGGTCATTCCTGGCCAAATATCCTGAAGCATAAAAGCTAATGATGTATGGAAAGGTTGGCGGCGGAACTTGCGGAACTTATCATTATTGCTGTATTTCTTGTCAGCTAATAGGTTTTTGTGTACGCACAATAATAAAACATAGTAAAGGACTTACTTTTTCGGATGGCCAAAAATCCTACTAATACAACACCATTTTTGTGGGCACAACGAACATTGTTGTGAATGTTTCCAATTGAAAGATAGAGTGGATACTATTTGTTCTGTCCAGTTGCAACTAAGACAGTGGTCTTGTCACTCCCGAGAATTACAGGGACGAACATGGAACCGTGAGTTTGTGGATCCTCTGCTTGTAATGACCAAGAGTTTCTTACTCTGGTGCACAACTTAGACAAGCAAAGGAGAAGAGAGAAAGGAGGGATCACCCCTCAGGTTTCAACAAGTTTGTTGTGCTAGACAACAGGAGGACTCGCTGAGTCCTTCCCTATGTATTGCTCCTGTATATATACTAAAATACATGAGGTACTGTACAGTTGTAACTAAAGTTTAAAGTCCGATGTTTAGCATGTGACCAGTCACATGGTGAGCCTAGACACCGGTCAGGTGATGTGTCACATGACTGGTCATGTGACTATGAAAAGTCAAAAATGTAAAGTAAAGTAAATGGTCACATAACTGGTCATGTGACTTGGGAAAAGTAAAAGTAAAAGTACAAAAAGTGAAGCGTAAGTAGGTGCTAGTATGTCAATTGTAACACCTGTTCACACCAAGAGTCCTTATGTGCTTCCATTCCATCTTGCCAGAGTAATCAAAGCAGAGCATTAGAAAGCGGGTTTTGAGGACACTGTAACCATGGGCAAGGTTTCCTTGAGTCAGACTGAGGCTGCAATAAAAGGTCCATGGATTTGAATAGGGCGGTATCACAAATGGTGCACTTGGCACTGGCGGAAGAGTCTGAAGGGTACACTCTGTCCAATTGAGAACTTCTGCGAAGTGTCTAGCCACTTGCCGAGAGCTAACAGGGACAGAACTAGAGTACAGTATGAGTAACTTTATTATCAGAGAGTACAGAATGTGTACAGTACCTACAGTCCAGTATGAGTAACTAAAGAATAGGAATACTGGACTCTGCAATACTAGTCCGAAGTTTTGTAAACAAAGGTAAACAAAGTCAAAACGCAGTGATTTTTCCCTTCAACACCTCATTAACATCTGATCCACATGTGACAAAAATGTCTAGACTTTTGCCACATGTTAATCATGGAAAATCCGACTTTTTCTGCGGTGTAGTGTCAACAGGATCACAATGATAAACTATATGTACTACATGTTTGTGCTCTGGATTGTTCTTGAGCCATAGTTTTCTCTCCTTCCATGTAGCATGTTCAGAAACATTGTTGACCACCTTGTGAAGTCCTTGTATATTATGATAAGACAAGCCTAACTTCTTTACAACCTACAATGACATAGTTTGAGTCTCTGTTGCTCACTCCAGGTATAGTCATTAGTTTATCAAATGCTTTATGCCCAATTCCATCCTGTACGGCCCAGAAAGCAATCCTCCAATGCACCTCAGATGTAAAAGGCGCAAACTTATTGACCTCACTAGCTTTCATCTCAACATCACCATCTAAAATACTCTCTTCCACTTCACATATACAGTCAATCCATCCTGATAATATTACCTGCAGTGTGATCTTCATCCTCAACCCTTTCCTCCGCATCTTCATCATGTTGCCAGTCATGTCTAGAAGGACCAGCTACATTATCTTCATCTTCCACAGGAACATGCCGAATTGGTGCAAACGGCAATATCCCACGCTTGACCGCCCCACATTTTCTCACGGCTAGAAAAAGTTCGAGGCATAATGCCAGCATTTTCCATGGGAGGCCGCAAGTATCCCAATTATACGACGCACTCTCTGGCTTAACCTTACATTCATCGACCCAGGCAAGCCTTTCTTTTCATTCCGATTGTTTTATTAGCTATACATCTGCGTAGACGATTCCATATGGTTGGTCATAAGCGCGGCTTGGACGATAAATCTTCGTTCCAGAAATCTAAGAAGAAGAAATTTTCAGAAGGCGCTCTCCAAGGAAAGCAGGCAACCCAGAGTGATGTTGAGCATGTTGCAAAATTTACCGAAGAAGCAGTTGAATTTCCTCGTGGTGGTGGTACAAGTTTCACTCCTCTCGAGGTGAAAGCTATACGAGCTGAAGGAGTTGATGAAGCTAATGTCAAGCTCATTTCGGTCAATTTTCTTATTCGTGACTCTTGCTTCTCGGCTGAATATCATTGCAGCAAGGGCACATACTGAAGAATAATGTCGATTCGATCAAGAATCCAACGCTAAAAGAATGTCTAAACTACAAAGTATCATTTCCCTCTTCAATTTTTAGAAAAATCTTCCTTAAGTACATCTCTTATAGCGAATCGTCCCTGGCATGAAAATTTTTGGTCAGATTATGTTCATACATCCTTTGGCCCTGATCGTATCTTTACCGAATCGGATTGTGGCACACGTTCCTGTAACGCAAGTCACCTCACAGCTCACAGAGCGATTAGAATCTACTCCTGCGAACACAGTTCAGCCGGGCGAGTACTCTCACATTGAAAATGGCTGGAATTCCAGTTTTCATATTCCTGAACTGGCCCACCTTTTCTACCCGGGGCAATACGTCAGGGCTATTGTCATTGCTACTCACGCGGCGGGGTCCGCTGATGTATGCGGATTAGGGAAAGTCAGAAACGACGCCATCAGAGCCAGCCGACGAATTGAGCTCAGTCTCATCCCCGAAAGAGTCAATGCTGGGGTTCAGAAGTCTGACCTTACCACAGGATTTGTATGTGATCCTATTTTGATCTTATGCGGTTGGGCACTTCCAACTGACTGTCCAATTTTTGGTAGACTATGTCCGCAGCGCTCAGAAGTGTTGAGGATCATGGGTATATCTTTGACTTAGGCATATCTGATACTTCTGGTTTTCTATCATTTAAAGACTACCGTAAAGCCCATGTTAACACGAATCATTTCGTAGTTGGCTCCTTGGTAGAGGTTTGTGTCACTGAGATGTCCACTGATGGCCGGAATTGCACACTATCGGTCGACCCAGAATTATTGGCGTCTGCTTCGGTCAGTATCGCAGTAGTCAATGTGTAATGTGATCTAATATATTCTTTAGCTTTCAGAAGTAACTCATGTTTCGTCAATCCTTCCGGGATCAATGGTGCAATCGCTCATCATATCTGCAAAGCCCGCTGGTTTAAACCTCAAGCTACTTCACTTTTTTAATGGAGTAGTCAACGAGTTCCACTTACCTGCGGGTGAAATGGAAGAATATAAAGTTGGAAGGAAAGTGAAAGCTAGAGTGCTTTATAGCGTCCACTCGAGCCCTTATCCGACATTTGCCGTGAGCCTTGCGGACCACATAATAGGATTGAAAAAGAAAGAGGAGGTCGAAAGTTATCCGATAGGCACGGTATTAGAAGCAGTCAGAGTGAATAAGCTGGAAGGGGAACAAGGACTCATAGTAGAAGTGCAGCCGGGAGTAGAGGGATTCGTGCATGTCAGTATTTTTCCCTTTCCTATGAGCTGTTCTCTTATTGAGATATATTTTTCAGATCTCTCAAATATCTGATGATCACGTCCTATCGCTTTCAGCTACTGGACCCTGGAAATTAAATACTATCCACAGAGGTCGCGTAACAGGTCTTCACCCCTTGGACGGTATACTGCAGCTTTCATTGCGCCGATCGGTCCTGGAGCAGAAGTTCTTGGAAGCTGGTGAAATCCTTGTCGGCGAAGTTCTTAGAGGAACGATAAAGCAAATGACCAAGTCCGCGTTATTCATATCTATATCGGCTAACGTCGACGGGGTAGTCTGGCCTAACCATTACGCAGATATAGCGATTAAGCATCCGACACTGAGATTCAAACTAGGAGTCAGTATCAAATGCCGTGTGAGCAAATGATATTCTTGTGGATCATAATATTTTACTCATATGGAACGTAGGTACTCACTATTGACTCTGAACAGCGGCGTATAGTGCTTACTGCGAAAAAGACCCTCGTTGAATCTACGCTGCCTATTCTATCTTCTTATGATGACGACAATATTGGTTTGGTGACGGACGCTGCTGTGTCCAAAATCTTAGATAAGGCCATACAAGTCGAATTTTATAACAACGTGAAGGCCATAATACCTCTTCAGGAGGTTGGGTATGTTTTCGTCTTTTTGATCTGACGATCATTTCTCAACACATTTTAGTCAAGTTACAGGAAAACTGGCCGATGAATTTTCGGTAGGTAAGGTTGTTAAAGTCCGCATCATTTCGATCGACGCAAAGAATCAACGTATGGTGGCCAGTATACGCCAAGTAACATTGAATGTTCAGTCTGTGGCAGCGACAATCACTGGAGTTGAAATTGGCAGTACTGTTGAAGGCATCGTTACTGAAATACATACAAGGAACATAGCCCTCTCACTGCAGCCCACTCAGGCGCCAGCTCTCATCTCCTTGAGAAATTTGGCAAATCATTATGGCACAACATCGGCTAAGCTCGAGATGTCCTTGAAAGTTGGTGATCGGGTTGATCGGCTGGTTGTTGTTTCGCGGAATTTGGAAAAGGATTTTGTTCTTGTAGTTGGTAATTTGAGGGGGAGGGCGGTGATCAAGAAGGGCGCAGTATCAATGGACACGATTGAGATAGGACAGGTTGTTGGGGGAAGAGTGACTCGCCATTGTCACAGTGGTGCGCACGTCAAAATTTCGACACGGATTAGTGGCTCTCTGCATCCCACGGATGTTTCTGACAATTACGACGCTGGCATCTCTTTTCTTCCGGTTGACTCTATCTTGAAGGCGGTGGTCATCGGCATTGATAAGTCCAATAACCATGCTACGCTATCTACTCGCCCATCGAGATTTTTACCAGTGAAGACCGGACTTGTGACTGACCGGGAAATCAAGGCATTCGCAGAACTTAAAACCGGAGATACAGTGAGGGGTTTCGTCAAGAGTGTTTCAGAGCATGGTTTGTTTGTGATGCTCGGACGTGGGATTGACGCACGCGTGCAGATCAAGGAACTTTTCAATACGGTCAGCCTCACATTAACTTAGTTTTAAATCGTTAACTTAAGAGGTCTTATGTTCAAAGTTTGTCAAAGATTGGAAAAGCCGGTTTACGGCGAATCAAGTAGTTAAAGGCAGCATTCTGAGGTACGTATTTCGATTTTAGTATGACATTAATGTTCACCACTTCGCAGCGTGGATGTTCTGACCAAAAAAGTAGAGATGACATTTCGGTCAAGGGATTTGACGAGAGATGGAACGGACTCGTTCACTTTTGCTGATCTACATCAAGGGCAGAAGGTCACGGGCCGTGTCAAGCGAATCGAATTGTATGGTCTTTTCATTGAGATTGATGGATCAACGCTCAGTGGACTATGCCACAAGTCTGAGGTATAAGTTCATTTACGAGATGTTTGCCGTGTTGTAATGACTGTCTTTCATAGTTATCAGATAACAAAGATGCTGATGTTACAGTATCTCTTGGTAATTTCCGAGAAGGGGATCCAGTAAAGGCCCTTATTCTATCAATCGACCAAGAAAATCGACGAATATCATTCGGCTTGAAGCCTTCTTATTTTGTTGGTGACGACCATGAAGCTGACATGGATATAGTTCTTCAAGATCGTGGGGAAGGCACTATGAGCGTCGTATGTGATAACGGGGAGTTGTTGGCCATTCGCGAAGTTGTCGATAGTGATCACAGTTCTCGGAAAGACGTCAGCAGCGGAGAGCAACAAAATGATGGCGAAGACATGCTTGCTGATATCGCTACTCCCTTGACCCAGCTTTATACAGCTTCGCTACTCCAAAATTCTGCACACCTGTTGAATCTGGAAGCATTCCAATGGTTTGACCTTGGAACGTTGTCAGAATCTTCCTCTAAAAGTAGCGAAGACGGTGATCTTGGGCAGAACAAGAAGACATTTCGCAAGGGAGTAAAAGACGGCGACTTGACAGCAGACATACACTTCCAACCCCCCGAGGCCATCGCAGATTTCGAGAAGCTGTTATTGGGTTCGCCGAATTCGTCATTTCTATGGATACGTTATATTTCCTTTCAATTACAATTATCAGAATTGGACAGAGCGCGGGAACTGGGGCGACGGGCTATCCAAACAATCAATTTCCGTGAAGAACAGGAGAAGTTAAACGTGTGGATTGCAATGTTGAACTTGGAAAACACATATGGCACAAACGATACGCTGGAAACCACTTTTAAAGATGCCTTGCGCTACAATGATGCCAAAACTCTTCATCTCCGCCTGGCAGCCATTTTTGAACAAAGCGAGAAACATGAGGTTTGTGGAATCATTTTCGAGACTACTTACATGTTAACTAAAATACTGTATAGAAAGCTGAAGAGCAGTACATACGAGCCTGCAGGAAATTTAGTCACAGTTCCAAAGTATGGACCCTTTTTGCCGAGTACTATCTACGTTGCGGCAAGTTAGAACAGGCTCGCAGATTACTTTCTGCAAGTTTACATAGTTTGGAGATAAATAAACGTAAGTTCCAGCCCAGTTATACGTATTAAAGCTCATAATGTTTCATACTAGACTTGAAAACAATATCCAGATTTGCTCAGATGGAATATAAGCTCGGAGATCCTGAACGGGGGAAAACAATCTTTGAAGGCGCGGTTGACTCGCATCCAAAGCGATGGGATTTATGGTCAGTATATATTGACATGGAAGCAGGTCAGTGTGCTATGCAAAATTTGCGGTAAGCAACAGTTTTTATCCTGGTTACCACTCTCTGACAAGGGTCCAGTGACATTTTCAACCGAGTTTTTGCAATCAATATGACGGGTCACAATGCAAAGTATGTGTAACATCATAAAGTAAATCCGAATTTTCGTTGACCTGTCCCAGGTACTTTTTCAAGAAGTGGCTAGATCTTGAGCAAAAGTTCGGTCATGGGGAAGGTGCTATAGCCGTCAAGGTAAAGGCTATGGAATGGGTTCAAAAAGTTACAAACATCAACTCATAGTAAATTAACAAATGTAGTATTACAGTTATTTACCGACACTTGAACCACCAAGTTTTTGATTGCTTCTGTATTCACAACAACAACATTTTATTAAGATCAGCTGGTAGGATGACTTCAGTATATACTCGAGCATATAGTATAAAGGAAATAAAATAAAACTTGAATGCTGTATTTTTGCGATTTGCTTGCACAAGGATTGACTGCTTATCATGGATGCTCCATCACTTGAACCATCACCAAAACGGGTAAGTCAGTGACCAAGCGACAGCAAACAGCATTATCTTAGCGATATTGTCACGGTAGCACTGGTTACTCCTCTGCGCTCTCACCATCACTCTCCATGCCATCAATGTTCTCATCACTTTGCTCATCCTCACTGCCAGCTTTCCTAGCTTTGGCTTTGCCCCACCCCACCCGCCTTCGCTCCTGTTTTGCAAGATTACTTTCCTCCTTCCACAAGTGCATGGCCTCATGGTAAGCTTCTCTGCATGCCGTATTCCAGGTTTTCCGCAATTTTTCTAACTTCTTCCACTCTGTCAACACCCCAGATTGTTCCTCCTTTTGTTTACAACAATCTTCTTGTGCCGCTTTTGCTGCATCCAAAGCGGTTTGATGCTCAACCACACGGTTATAAAATTCATCACCTGTGAGTAATCTCGGCAGTCCATCACTGTTCAGTTGACCCTTCTTTCTTCTCTTCTGTTTTTCCTCCTGTGCTGCCAGCTGACCTAACAGACAATCACAAAACATCAACTGCAAAACAACAGTTGACTACATTCCAATGAGTGCATTTTTTGATGCAAGCTCTCGCTTATAGGATTCATGTAATGCCATTTGGTAAGCTTTCTCTTTTTTGTTTGCTGGTTCTTCATCTAGCAGAGGGTGTTTGTGTTTGCGCCGTGTTGGGGAGATTTGGGATGGTGTGAATGGTGGGAGGTGATGAGATGAGGTGAGTGGGGTATCAGCAACAAGAAACAAAGCTGATGTAGATGCAAGTGATTTGACAGTGTCTTTTGCCACTTAATAAAACTAAGTGAAACTCAGCCGCTGCCCGAGAGGCTATAGAAACGACTGAGGTATTCCTATACTAAACCCCCTACTACTTATAGTTGGAGGTGCTACTCGCTACAGTATAATGACTCCTAGGAGAACAATGGTTACTCCATGGAGTGGTGGCTATGCTCCATGGAGAACAATGGCTGCTTTGGCAGAGACCGGGTTTATCCGGTTTTGTCACCACTGTGTGCCAAAGTGGTCGATGCCGCTGTATTGAGGTGTTGCCGCAACCCGAGTTGATGAATGGATTGTTGTTGCTGTCCTGGCTGGAGGGTTGACTCATATGGGGAGTTTGTGACAGTCCTGGCATGGGAGTTGATGGAAATGGGGTGCATTGAATATCTTCGGTATTGTTTCGATACTGACACATAAGAGATGTGATGACATGAACAGGGCTCGGCTGTGGAAGTGGCAGCTGACCTTGAGATGATGTCTCCAAGCTTGGGGCCATCATCTCTTCGGTAATGATGTTCCGGTCAGCCAGTTGCCCTGAATGCAGAACAAATGATTTCAGGGGTGAGTGCTTTGAGATGAGCTGTTTTATAGATCATAATGAAGTTGTTTTTAGTTATTTTTTGACATGTAGAACTCTCAAAGCTGTCACGTGCCTCCGTCCAATAATTCTTCAATGGACTGAAGACAACAACGTTAAGGCCTTGATAGATGTGAGTGGCATGTGCGGGATAGCACAAAACATGAAGAATATGTTCCCTGGCATAATCTAGGAACTCCTTTGTGTAATGGGAGTTATGGCCATTAACAAGGAGAAGATGAGCTCGTCCGTGCACTTTCTGGTGGGTTTTGTTGTCAAAGTCTTCAATCCAAAGTTGTCCAATTGCACCATCAGTCTACCCTTTGGGCGAATGAGCAACTCTATAATTATGTGAGTCCTTAGTATTCTAGTCAGAGGCCCAGCAAAGCAAACACATGAGGCTTTCAGAGTATTGTCTTGATGCCAATTTGTCAAAAATGACTTCCCCTTGTAGATAATAGTTGGCGCAATTGATCCACCATCAGCGCAGATAGTCACCATCATAGTGATATTCTTGCGGTTTCCATCCCGCTGCTGATGTTGCATTTTCATTTGTGCAGGACCAATGACACGCTGTTTGCGTCCATTCCCAGGCTGGAAGCCAGTTTTGTCTGCTGCCCAGATGCAGTCCTCGACAATATTATTATCCTTGATGGTGCTCTCAAGTAAGTTGCACTATGCTTTGTATGTGTGCTTGTTGACTGCCCGCCCACAAGCAGAATCAAGTGGAGAACTCTAATATGTGCCCAAGCACTTTGAGTGTCGATTAAGAAAATGCCCAGTCCAATTCATTCCGACCCCTGTCTCTGGGAAAGAATTGCCAAGTCATGCTTGTAGGAGGGTGTCAACATGAAACTTGAGCCTTTTATAATTGAGTGGGAAGCCTCTTGCTGCAAGGTCAAGGCAATAATTGATGATGCTCTCCTCCTCTTCAGATGTAAGCCAGGAATGATTTTCTTCATTTGCTTGTTGACAGCTTCTCCCACCTCCAAGTCGTCTCGTAAGAGTAACCCTGTCAATGGTAATATGCTTCTTCTTCCTCTTGTTCATCTCTTCTTCTGCCTCACAACAAATTGCTTGCAGACTCCTCTGATCTTCCTCTGGCTTCTTTTTGTCATTATTCCACACTTTTATTGCATATGCAAGACCTTTTTCTTTATCAACAATTGCAGTATGTTGCTTCTTGCACTTGGATTTTGCACGGCCAGCCATAACCTGAGTGCGTTGTAGACATAGTGAGCATTTTTATTTGCCGTAATATTCAAGTCCCTAATAATGACTATTCCATAATAGGTATATCTTGTTTACTGATAAACAACTTAACACCCTTATTGACTTTCTTCATTGGCATTGTAGTGGCAAGATGAGGAGTCACTGATCTTCCAATCAGGTGTTGGGACCATGAAGCCAAGAAGCAAATGTAAATATTCCATTGGTTAGAATGGCTACAGTGTTTGTATTTCCTGTAGTAGCTATGGAATTTTGTGATTTCAAGGGTAAAATACTAATCATTAGTTTAATGGTGGCCTCAAGTGAGGCCTATCTTATGGCCAAGCATAGCAAAGTATTGTATTTTATTGCCTCAACCATTGTTTTACTTGTTGTGACTGGAATTCATGTGTAATTTGTGTTTGGTCCAAGTGTTGGTGGTGGTTCAAGTGCCGGTAAATAACTGTATGTCTGAACAGCTGCACAGCATTGAAAAGCACTTCTACAGCTTACATAATTCTTTGACTATCTGTTTTATTAGTTTTCAGGAATGAATTGTCAGGAGTACAGTCATAGTTTGTACAGCTAAATTCATATTGATAGACCAATATTTTGAAAAATTACACGCATAGGAGTTTGACTGACTTTCCACTGAGTTGAATTGAGTTGGAATATTAGACTAAATTTTAACAAAAAGGCTAAACTGATGTGGTTAGACTCTGACAGAGCCACATGCAGGTGGCCAGCACTTGAAACTATTTGCATTCTGTTTTGTCTTCCTGTACGTGTGCTCTCATGTGGTGGTTTATCAATATGAATTTAGCTGTAATATCTGCAAAATGACTTGACAGCGGCTAAGTCGGCGCTTCTGAAATTCTGGTGCCAACTCATGCAATTGGTGCAAAGTTGTGTCGGTCTCCTTATTAGGATGAGGGAGGTTCTGCTGCGAGATCTCTGTAATTGTGCTCTGATAATTTTTATCTCACAACAATAACCAATATCTCAGTGATTAGATAGCATCATGCTGTAACATATTCATAATTAATAACAAAAAGTAACAAAATATGATAGCATCATGCAACAAGATTTACAAAAGGACTAGTACAGCAGCAGCATTGGGAGTTAGTCATCCCACATCAGTCATCCACCAACATTGAACAATACACTGTTTTGTCCGAATAACAGTTCAAAAAAAAACAAGTCGGCACTCCAGTGAATTACTTGCATCAATGGCGGAATCTTTCATGTGCATATAATGGGATGAGCTCCACAGCTTGAGAAACAGCAGTCAGAGGCACAATGTGTTACAAACTGTGACTCATACGAACTTTATTTCTTCTTTGAGTAGCTACCTACCACTACTCGTTACTATTTCCCACACTCAATACTCGTTATAGTTTTTCACCCATTGTCGTTTGTTCAACGCAAACACCTACCCTAAAGTAGGACAGTATATATAGCCACTTGTATTGTAGTTAACATCTCCAATATGATTGTACACTTCAACAGTGCAACTTGGTATTCATATTGAAACCCTTCAGCTACTTCAGAATACGTCTCAAACCCGTTGTCCACGGGCTTATCAGAAATCATTTCCATATCCAGAAACCCTTTTCTTACCAAGCTTGTACATCTCAAACGTAACAAAACAATTGTATTCTACACCGTCATTCCCATGCTTTCTAGCAAAGGGACAAAAAAGTTGACAAAACGTCACAAGGAAGAAGACCCACTACCAGGGCACAGACCAGAGCAGAACCTACTCAGACGGCCACACCCCCAGTATTGTCAAGACAAGAAAGAACAGCAGCACCACCCCCTTTTCCCCAACCCGATGTCACCAGACTTCATACCAGAGAACAAGCAAACACATTCATTGAAGCTAGAACACGTTGGTTACAGTATTACGCGAGAAGTCACCCACAGCTAATACCCAGAACCCAACACGATCCCCCGGTCGCGGAAGAAGACATCTACAACGGACAAGACTTTGAAGAATTTGCTGCAGAAGGCCAACCAGTGCCACATCCCACACCTCAGATACTTCCCCCTGCACCCAACCCATCTCCCATTCCACCAACTAGCACCATGTCCAACGCCACAGCACCCAAGCCCACCAAGTTTGGACAAATAGACGATTTCAATGGAATGCCCGACCGAGCCAATGGCTGGATGTTGTCAGCCAAAGCATACTTTGACGTAAACGACTCCATTTACGACTCCGACAAAAAGAAGGTCTTCGAAGCCCTCTCCCACATGAAGGAGGGAGCCGCCCTAGCATGGAAAGAGACCAAACTGATGGAATACACCAGATCGGGCAAATACCCGAAATGGGCAGACTTCAAAACTGACTTTAACGGAACATTCATTACAGCGGATGTAAAGGGAGCGGCCATTGCGGCCCTTATGACAATGAAAATGGAAACAGGAGAAACGGCAGTAAAATTTAACTCCCGTTTTATGGTAGAAGCGGGAAAAAGCAGCTTGAACGACGAAGGACTAATCATGGTATACAAAAGCTCCATACATCCGTATCTCCTTTGAAACGTGCTCAATTCTGCCACCCAACCAAAGAACATTGCAGGATGGATGAGCACCGTCGCTGGCCTTGATGCCAACTGGACAAATTCAAACAGCATCAGCAAAGGGAAATGGGGAAAGAAAGGAGAAAAGAAGAGAGAAGAAAAAGGAGGAAGAAGCCAATCATTCTCGGCAAAACATTTAACCAAAGATGAAGAAGACTCGCTCAAAAGAGAAGGGCAATGCTTTATATGCAAAGAACAAGGACACATCTCGCGGTTTTGCCCGGATAAAAGAAAAGGAAAACAGCCGGAACGAAAAATTTGTACAGCCGAAATCACAGGAAAAGAAGACACAGAGACCGTGGTAGAAGATGGAAAAGGAATTTCCCACATCCTCAAAATGTGGAGAGAACTTGGAGAAGCCGATCGCGCCTCTGCCATTGACAAATTAGAAAAAGAGGGTTTTTGAAAGGACAACCCACCCCAATGTTGGTACCGTCCCAAATAGCCGTTGTAACCATAGCTACAATTAATTTGAACTCCCTACAAATTGACACCACATTACGACAAAAAACCATTGGAAACCAAAGCGCTCATTGACTCGGGAGCAACCGATGACTTTATGGACGCAAAGTTTGCCATCAAACATTGCCTACCCCTTAACAAATTAGAAGTACCCATCACATGCAAAAATGTAGATAGAACCGTCAGCAACGGAGGCAAAATCACCCATTACACGTATCAGTGGGTAGAAGCAGGAGGAAGGAACACTATGTGCAAATTCCTTATCACCGCCTTAGGAGGAGAAGATATTCTCCTTGAATACCCATGGCTTCACAAGGTAAACCCCACTATAGACTGGACATCCAAAAGTGTAGACACCCAATACGCCATTTGCACAATCTGACATCACTCCAACCAATCCATGATTCACACCACCACAACAGATCAGCCAGAACTATCGATCAATTATGTACACGAAACACGGATCTTTGCGAAAACTAACACCGCAATGGAATTAGCTATCCAGCACAATGTTGGGAAACGGATAACGAAACTACCCAAAACCTACAAAGAATTTGCAATGGTCTTCGACAAGAAGGCCTCAGAGAGATTACCCAAAAGAAGGATCTACGATCACGCCATAAACCTAAAACCAGAATTTAAACCAAAAGATTGTAAAATCTACCCTTTATCACCCAAGGAAAACACGGCACTCGAAGAATTCCTTGACAATAACCTTCGAAAAGGATACATCCGACCAAGTAAATCCCCAATGGCTTCCCCTTTCTTTTACATAGACAAAAAGGACGGTTCTCTACGACCATGCCAGGACTATCAACAACTAAATGAATAAACCATCCGAGATCCTTATCCACTACCCATGATCCCCGACCTGATAGACAAACTCCATGGAACATCGCATTTCACAAAATTGGATCTACGATGGGGATATAACAATGTCCGGATAAAAGAAGGAGACGAATGGAAGGCGGCATTTAAAACTAGAAAAGGACTCTTCGAACCCACGGTAATGTTCTTCGGCATGTGCAACTCCCCTGCCACCTTCCAACGCATGATGAACGACCTCTTCGCGGACATGATAGACGAAGGGTGGCTTATCATATATATGGACAATATGCTCATATTCAGCAAGGAGCCTGAAGAACACATTCTACGGACGAAAAGAGTGTTACAACGCCTACAGGAAAACGACTTATATTTAACACTACAAAAATGCACCTTTGATGTAGCCGAAATATAATATCTCGGCATGATTGTTCGCCACAACCAGGTACAAATGGATCCAGTAAAACTAGCCAGAATCCAAAATTGGCCTACCCCAACTAACACACACGAAGTACGGAAGTTCCTCGGATTTGGCAACTTCTACCAAAAATTCATTGGCCACTACTCGGAACTTGCAAAACCGCTCAATGCCCTACTCGAAAAAGGAAAAATTTGGAGCTGGACAATGGCCGAAGAAAATGCATTTGCGCTGCTGAAACACCGCTTTAGCAAATCACTGGTGATGCAGATACCCGATCCTAACAAACCATCACAAATTGCGGCGGACACGTCCAAACATGCAACCGGAGCGGTGTTAAACCAACCAGATGACAACGGAGTATGGCATCCATGTGCCTTCTTCTCCAAAACACTATCCCCAGCGGAAAAGAACTACCAGATATACGACAAGGAACTACTGGCCGTCATCAGAGCATTGGAAGAATGGAAACACTATATCCAAGGCAGCACACACACAATAGAGATATTGACGGATCACAAAAATCTCACATACTGGCAAGAAGCCAGAAAATTGACACCACGACAAAGACGCTGGCAACTTCTCCTCCCACAGTACAACTATACTCTGAAACACGTACCAGGGACACAAATGACAATTCCAGACAATCTATCCAGGAGACCGGACCTATACATGGAAGATGACAAACAAGACATGCCACTGCTCCCAAAAACTGTCTTTGCCACTGTAGCGACTACAGACCCATTTCTCACACGCATAAAGGACAGTTTACACGATGGAACCAAATTGCCAATACACTCAGACCCCACAGATTGGACCATCAAAAACGATGACGTCTATTACAAAGGTCGCCAGTACATTCCCACAGGAATAGAAAGAAAAGCATGCATTCAACAACAACATGATACACTCACAGCCAGACATCCTGGACAACTGAAAACAACCCAATTAGTAACACAATATTACTATTGGCCAGGTATGACGCAAATGATCAAAGAATATGTTGCAGGGTGAGCCACATGCCAACAGAGTAAGGTGATTACAAACCCAATCAAAGTACCCATTCAACCGATTATAGGCCCCAAAATAACTGAACCATTCAAAAACCTGTCCGTCGACTTCATCACAGATCTTCCAGAAAGCAACGGATATGACAGTCTCATGGTCGTGGTGGACCACGGCCTTACAAAGGGGGTAATACTATCACCATGCAGGAAAACTATTGACGCATTAGGAACGGCTAAATTATTTCACCAACACGTGTTTAGAAGATTCGGATTACATGATAAACTCATATCCGATAGAGGACCACAATTCACATCAGAAGTAACCAAGGAACTAGCCAGATTACTCAAAACCGGAATTAATCTATCAACGGCATATCACCCTCAATCTGATGGAGAAACCGAAAGGGTAAACCAAGAGATAGAAACGTACTTGCGGATCTTCTGCAATAATTTACCACACTCTTGGACGGAATATCTCACAACAGCCAAATTCTGCCACAACCACAGACCCCACTCTGCACGGAACAAATCCCCATTCTATCTAATAATGGGATACCACCCCAGAGATCTCCCCTCGACACCAATAACGACCAACATACCAGCTGTAAGCAAAAGACTATCTAGCCTGCTAGAAGCAAGGACCATAGCCTTACAAGCACACGAACTAGCAAGGGCACACATGCAAAAATACTCGCAGCATCTGTTACCTACATTCACAACTGGACAAAAGGTTTGGCTAGAAGCAACAAACCTAAAGAAGAAAGGAACACCCTACCGAAAGTTCAATTGGAAACGAGAAGGCCCCTTTGTCATCCTTAAAAAAGTATCGCCGGTTAACTACCGACTAAAACTTCCAGACGCATGGAAAATCCATCCTGTATTCCACGCAACCCTTCTAACCCCGTACAAACAAACCAAAGTCCACGGAGAAAATTACATAAGACCACCAGTGGAGATAATCAACAATCAAGAGGAACACGAAGTAGAAGCCATTTTACGGCACAAAAAGAACAGGAAAGGATATCTATATTTAATCAAATGGAAGGACTACTTGTCGGCCAAAAATTCCTGGGAAGAAGAAGCAAACCTACAGAATGCCTCCAAGACCTTGACGGAGTATAAAAAGAGGCACAAATTGTAAAAGCATCCCTAACAACGAACTCCCTCCTACACTTCTACATCCTTACCCAAGACAAGATGTCTCAAACCACCCCTGTTGACCAACAACCCCCTCAGTTTCCTCCTTATCTCACCGAACCACCAGTAGTCACCGAAGCCCAATGGACACACCGACTAGCCCTTACTTGCGAACAGACCAACATTGTAGATGCCACCGAACAGATGTCAGATAGGCGCGCATACTTTTATCTATTCCATCAGTCTAACATCAATTGCCCTTACGCTACCTATCCTCTGGACATGTTCCATCGCTGGCAACAATCATTCCTAATTGCCGATGAACTACACGCAGTCACTGTCTCACTGGCTTCGTTAGTAGACGAGCTTACACGGGACAACAATTCCGCATTGAGTATTGGAGCGACTTTGCTCATGGAACACTTGCAGATAGAATCCCTGGAACAACGCTTGAGGAAGAACTGCGAGAATGGAGAGAAAGAAGCGGTCAAGGCTTTCCTACAATTAGGGGGCCAGAAGGTGTGTGAAGACGTGAGGAACCTTCTTGCCCAACGAGGATACCTCACCTCCCCTCCCCCAGATTTGTTATCCCTACCAGGTCTCACGGGACACACATTTCCAGGATGTCACCCCCCTCACTCTCCACCACCGCCTCCACCAGCATCTCGCCCATCATCACCAGATCTTGTTCTACCCGTGCCCGCTCCATTATCCCCAATACATTCCTCTACAACCGACTCAATAGCCCCCGTTCCCAACATAGTTGACGCATTGCAGGACACATTGATTCCTACGCGACCAACGACACCCCTTCCCCAACTTCCCCAACCGCATTGCCCCCGCCGCCTACACCAACAGCGCCCCAAGCCGGTACTCCTTATCCCTTCGGGCTGCACTCCCCAAGTACCGCACACAGGCCAGGGGAAGACCCTGATATCAACCAGCGACAAATCTCCGGATGGAAGGTTGTTGAGGAGCAATGAAGGGGACACTTTATCCACCGGGAGTAAAGGCAAAAAGCCCTCGCCCATATCAGACTATTCCAATTCCACTCACTCACAATCCTCTTTGGAACGAAGACACCGCCCTCGTGTTTGACATTGTTATGCATGTCAAGGATATGGCCATTGCGCCATCTATTGTCGTTACCATACTTGCTCTACGTGCAGGTTAGATGCCCCAGGGCACCGAGCTAATGAATGTAACCGACAACGCAACTACCCCTTTGCCCCGGATAGTTGGGGATTGGACAACATACATAACGACCTGGACAACGACGCACGGTACAACATAGATGGAGAATTAGGAGACTTCGGAGCAGTCTGAACATAAAACGGGGGTAATGTTACGAACTGTGACTCATACGAACTTTATTTCTTCTTTGAGTAGCTACCTACCACTACTTGTTACTATTTCCCACACTCATTACTCGTTATAGTTTTTCACCCGTTGTCGTTTGTTCAATACAAACACCTACCCTAAAGTAGGACAGTATATATAGCCACTTGTATTGTAGTTAACATCTCCAATACAATTGTATGCTTCAACAGTGCAACTTGGTATTCATATTGAAACCCTTCAGCTACTTCAGAATATGTCTCAAACCCGTTGTCCACGGGCTTATCAGAAACCACTTCCATATCCAGAAACCCTTTTGTTATCAAGCTTGTACATCACAAGCGTAACACAATGGTGCATTCACGATGGATCTACATGGAACATTTGTTTGACAACAAACATATCAATTACAGGGTGGTTGGTAGGACTGGTTAATGACTTGGAAATATTGGACGTAGATTAGAGGCTCCAGGAGAGGTGGTGCTAAGGACTGATCAGGTAGGGGGATTGGTAGTAAAATAGCACAAACCTAGACTACACTAGGATCTGACAGAAAAAGGTGAGCTAAGGAATAACAATCAGGAAGTCACAAATATTACCTTTGCCGGACCCACCCAATACCACAGTGTCACAGTTTCCCCAAGGAAACTCTGTGCTTGGAGAATATGCCTGCACAAGCTGACTTGGCATGATTATGTTCTTGTCAAACACCGTACCTGGTTGAACTCCAAACTTTGACCAGACCCGGAACAAGCTGAACCCCAGTATCCCCATGAACCATGGACAAACAATACTTGGAAAGACTCGCTGCAAAATCATTCAGTCCATACAGAGTGTCAGCTTTGTTGAGTGTGATCTTCTTTTTTTGAGGCACAACTGTGAGATGGAAAGCTGTTAATGTATTGTTGGTAATGATACCCTTGATGAAGTGATTGCAGACTGGACGAGGACCGCAGATGCGAGGTTCCTCAGGCAAGAGAGATGAAATCCAAGCAAATTGAGGGTCTGTATCAACAACTTCGTGTTCAGCAAGCAAAACAGCGCATTTGTAGTCCAATGCAGCAATTGCCTTGTTAATGAAACTCTTTCTGCTGGACCATAACAATGTATATAAGTCAAACATTCTCCGCTTCTCAGTGTGATCTAAGATGGCAACCACCTGTATAATGAAGTCTCTCCTGTGGTTTGTGTGTTGGAATGTATGTTTACAGTTGGTGACTAGCAGACTTTCGATCACTTCTCCTGTATACTGAGGGATGCTGCCATTGTTCTCAATTGAGCACGCAAAATTTTGCATTAGCTCAAGTTTTGGAATACAAAAGTTATCAATAGTTCCCTTCTTACCCCTCCTATCTCCGGCTTCTAAAATTGCCTCTTTATACTAGTGAAGATCTTGCAACAAACAGACCATTTGCCTGATTGTACTGGGAGTTTGGACGGGATGTTGTGCGGAGTAGATGAAGTTGATCATGCATCAGATAGCATGGAAAAAGGTGAGGGGGGCAGCACCAATAATTGTTGGCACAATGGTATGCTGGATATTGGGATGTTTGTGTCTGGTCATCTGCTTCACATGCATAATGCCCTTGTCAATATGGTGAAAACCCACTCATTTGTGATGGCTCTTATAACGCATGTTCAGTTCCTGGTGCCCAACAACTTTTTTACACCACAGAAGAACGTGGTCAAAAAAGAACTTGTGGCAGGTGTGCAGCAGTTCCGGCGTTAGAAACACAGATAGATCAGCAAGGTGCCAATTCCTCCAAAATGGCTGATTTAGGCCATTAATACCAACTTCTTTTGACGCTATCTGAAACTTGTTTAGATTCCATGGATCAATCTTCTGCAAAATCTTCAAAATCTGTTCCAATGTGTGTTTTGCTGTACGGGGAAGGTGGGGATTTGGATCACCAAAATGTGATAGCGTAACAAGAGACACTGGGGATGAGTTTTTTGCCACGCACACAATAACCTGCACCCCAGGAAGGTTGGCTTGGTATGCAATGAGGGGCGTAAATACATAACAGATATCACCATAAGGATCAGGAATGAAAGTGCCAACTTTGGCTGCAATCTTCAAGTTAACGGTTACCCTTTCCATACACTTGTGCCAAACATGGGCCTGGAGGATGCCTTGATAGTCTGAATGAGCCTTGAACTTTTGTGTCAGAATGAAAGCAATGCAGCTCCAAGCATGCATTGTCACTTTCAATTGTCAAAAATGTAGGATGCATTTCTAGATTGCCAGTTCCTCTGGTGACTGCGGTTTTATTTGACCCAAGGGTGATAGGAACAATAGTTGCACCAATAGGTAGCTCATCCTGCTGAGACAGATCATTAGCTTAAAACTTTGCTATAACCTGTAGAATCACCTGGATTTGAAATGCCTCTTGACCTGTGAAAAATTTACTATACTGTCTCTTATCAGAAACCCACTTCAGTCACCCCCAAAACATAAGCATTTAGCTTCAACTATCTGTGTAAATGTATAAAGCTAAGAGCTTGTTTTTCCTGGTATCATCCCAAGTGCTCCAGCAAGGATGGGATCATCCCAGAAGCGGAATAATACCACCCTTCTGGGATTTTCCCATGGTATCAGACCATGTACCATAGTGGGATTATCCCTTAGATGGGATAATCCCAATAACCTGTCACATGTCACATGGTATCAGGGGGATTGGTGCTAATACTAACATGTGAGAATGCTGGGCCAACTAGTGAAGATATTTCCAGTCTTTTCCACCTGAATAATGGTACTTTAGCCCAATATAATCAAGACTATTTTGAAATATATGAGTTACAAGTTTCTCATTGTAGCTTACTGCAAATTTGGGGAGAAGCATTCCCTTTTTTTAAAATGTGGAACATTATCAATTTCTAGATATAATCAATTGCAGGAACCATACACTAGAAAGATGCTGTTGTCCTTGCTGATAGATGTGATATGTGAGTTCTGCTTTTTTGCAAGGTTTATTATACCCTTAACTGAAGTAAAAACTAGGAAACACAACACAAATGCTGTGACAACAAAGTAATCTGCAGAAGGACATCGAATATTAGATTTACACTAGATCTGGCATATTCTGTGAGGAAAATCCTGACCTTGTAGAAAGTAAAACATAGTAAAAAGAAACATAAAGTCATGTTCTTGCAAAAACATGAATTTACCACTTTTGTGGCACTACCAAGGTATTTGATACCTTATATTGTACATTCTCTGAGAGTGGTTCCTGGGGGCTGCTGGCTGAAGGTCTATGGGGAGAGGGGGATGCTTGCTATGTACAGTATAATACACAAGATCTCCATTTTGATACTCCTACACTAGATGACTTGAGTGTGAGGATTAATTAGGCACTGCTTAGGTATTTAATACCTTGAGTTGTGCCATTTCTGGGAGCTACCAGCTGAAGGTCTAAGGGGTGACTGGTGCCTATATGCTGACTGTGTATAGTACAGTATCTAAGTCCACAAAGAATCTGAGTGCTGTAAAGGTATTCTTTTTTTAGATTCTTGAGAAATTGAAATGAATCCGGAAAATATTTTTTCATGCCAAGTAAGGTTTCTGCCAACATTCTCTGTCTCTCATATGATAGTGATGCTGTCTCACACCACTCTTTTTGGATTATCATTTTTATGGCAATATGTAGAACTCAGGTAATTTCCTTCAAAACTGATTCTGACCATTGACATTGCCCAACTTTTGATTTTTTTTACTGAGGATCATCCCACACTGATCTGGACAAATCCCTGAAATAGGGTGTGATCATCCCAGTTAAATCTGTACATGTCCCCACGTAACATGGGGTTACCCACTTCTCACATGGACAAATACCAGAAGGGGGTGGGATGATCCCAGCTCAATGTGGACAAATACCACAAGAGGATGGGATAATCCCAAGCCAATCTGGGATGATCCCAAACCAATCTGGGAAAATCCCAGTTAAGCATGGACAAATACCAAATGAGATAGGATGATCCCAAACCAATATGGGAAAATCCCAGCAAGAGATGGGATGATCCCAGTTAAGCATGGACAAATACCAAAAGAGGATGGGATGATCCCAATTGAATCTGGGAAAATCCCAGCAAGAGATGGGATGATCCCAGTTGAACATGGACAAATACCAAAATAGGATGGGATGATCCCAATTGAATCTGGGAAAATCCCAGCAAGAGATGGGATGATACCAGTTTAACATGGACAAATACCAAAATAGGATGGGATGATCCCAATTGAATCTGGGAAAATCCCAGCTTAACATGGACAAATACCAAAGAGGATGGGATGATCCCAATCCACTCTGGGAAAATCCCAGCCAGAGATGGGATGATCCCAGCTCAACATGGACAAATACCAAAAGAGGACGGGATGATCCCAAACCAATCTGGGAAAATCCCACCAAAGGATGGGATGATCCCAGTTAAGCATGGACAAATACTAAATAAGATGGGATGATCCCAGCTCAACATGGACTAATACCAAAAGAGGATGGGATGATCCCAAACCAATCTGGGAAAATCCCAACAAGAGATAGGATGATCCCAGTTAAAACATGGACAAATACCAAATGAGATGGGACAATCCCAGCTCAACATGGACAGATACCAAAAGAGGATGGGATGATCCCAAACCAATCTGGGAAAATCCCAACAAGAGATAGGATGATCCCAGTTAAACATGGACAAATACCAAATGAGATGGGACAATCCCAGCTCAACATGGACAGATACCAAAAGAGGATGGGATGATCCCAATCTACTCTGGGAAAATCCCAGCCAGAGATGGGATGATCCCAGCTCAACATGGACAAATACCAAAAGAGGATGGGATGATCCCAAATCAATCTGGGAAAATCTCAGTTCAACATGGACAAATACCAAGGGGGGATAGGGTCATCTCAAACCAATCTGGGAAAATCCCAGCAAAAAAGGGGATGATCCCAGTTAAATGTGGACAAATACCAAATGGGATGGGATCATCACAATTTGATATGGACCAATGCCTGAAGGGTAAAGCATCATCCCAAACCAGCCAAGGAAAGTCTTGGAAAGAGATGGGATCATTCCAGTTCAATCTGATCTAGAAAAATCTCCAAATTACATAGGATCATCTCACTACATCACAGACAAATCCAAGCAGGGGACAAGATCACCCTGAGTCAGAATAGGACAGGGAGATCCCACAACAGGAACAGAATTATCGAATAGCATGCTTAGGCTGCTGGTGACTCAGCATGACAGGGGAAAATACTCCTGAAATGCACTAAGGTTATTCTGTAACATATAATCATAGGTAAGTTCCCAGCAGCTTAAAATATTATTGTCCTTTTCCAGCAGTTTCCATTTTTTACATGTTGCAGTATTTTGTTTGTAAACCAACTATTATGTTATGGTAGGACCTGGATGAACCTAAGGTTGAACTGGGACAGTGATTCAGAGTAGCCCTCACGTAGGTTCATCCCAAGTCACATGAAATTGCATAAGCATGCAGAGCACACCTTTCAGCCATTTTTGTTTTCACAAAAATTTATAATCAATTGTATGCGTGGGGACATATAGTGGATAAAATGGGTGTTGGCTTGTGGATGCTGGGCTGCCACAAAGAGCCAGCAATTTGTCTCATGCAAGACATGTTCTGCCTTTGACAATGATGCAGCAGAGGGAAGGATAATGAATATATAGTACTTACTCGGACTGGTATCTTTGTGCATTTTTCAGTTCAGGCACTTGGATAAAGCTGCACAATTCAAAAAAATATCATATCTTTTGGATCAGCACATTAAATGGATTTGTGACATATCTTTGCCTGGTTGCAAGAGTGTTACATTATTTAAAGTTGGATGAGCCTGAATGAGAGGTATTGTAATCCTGCAGATGTATATGCTTGGTATTGTCAAACATCTTGTATTCCTTTGACTATAAGCCATTTTAAGTAACATTGATAGAAATCCAGGGTAGATAAATCTACTTTGTGATATGCAGTAAATTATATGATAAGTAGGAATGACAAAGTTATATAGTCAGTTAAGGAAAAGAGATATGGTTGAATTATCTCCTAATCAACTGAATTAAATCAGGTTAATTTGTAAATGGTTATATGTCACAATTAGTTACACTAACCTTTGGTCAAAGTCTCCTCCATCAATCTATAGTATATGATATTACACTAGAAGCTGGACAAATTAAAGTTCAATTGAGAGTAAACACCATTTGAAATTTGTATATATGTTATAAATGATGAAAGCAGGTAGTATTGTATTCTGCTTCATGGCTATTAGTACTATTGATAATGTATTGATGTTGGCTACATTTATGCAGGAACTATTTTTGCAGTAAAGCCCCCCTGACACCATGTGACATGTGGCAAATGTCTGGGATTATCCCATCTAATGGGATTATCCCACCATAACAAATGGTCTGATACCATGGGAAAATCCCAGAAGGGTGGTATTATCCCACTTCTGGGATGATCCCATCCTTGCTGGAGCACTTGGGATGATACCAGGAAAAACAAGCTCTTAGCTTTATACATTTACACAGATAGTTGAAGCTAAATGCTTATGTTTTGGGGGTGACTGAAGTGCAGAAACCACCACTTTCTTTGGGTAAAACATCATATGCTGTCCAAAAACCGGGTTAGCAAATGTGTGCTGTGCAACCTCCAGCGCATCCCGATATATTAGATATATTAGTTGAATTGGATTTGAATGGTAGCCTTCGAGTTCTATTTTGTCTACTTTCCACTGAGGATCATTAGGTAGCCATTTCATCCAATCCATAAGCTGATTTTTATTCTTGCAGGACAGTATTTCTTGTGTTATGAGCTTGGTATACAATCATTTAAGCTGACTCAATGCCATCACACTTCCCAAGGATCACTTACCCACTCCAGGTTCATGAAATGGTCAATCTGCGCCTATGTCAAGCACTCACAGAGAAAGTTAACCAGTTCCCAGTCTGCACGATCTTGAAAGCAATAATAAATGTTATGAAGGTGTCTGTAACCAAATTGGTCAGAATCCATTTCTTCCATTATATTTTTTCCTCTGCCAAAATTGTACCCAGATGAGGGATGGTAGCAAAATTGTGTACGTGATAAGTCATCATTATCTTCCTCCTCGGCATCAACAGCTGATGGAGAAGGGTTGGGGGGACGAGCTGTAGGACATCCTATGGAAGCCCAGCAACTAGTTTGGTCATTCAGATGCTGCACAATTGCTGCAGAGTCGTTGTAGCCCCTATTACAATTGGGACATTGCAGTTGAGCTGGCATGTTGGACTAATCAGCACCTGTAGAATCAATATCAGGAGGTGAAAAAATGCAGAAACAATAAGAAATGCGCTGAAGTTCTTCAAAACTTGATAAGAAACAATAAGAAATACACCCAAGTTCTTCAAGCTCCGAAATCCACCTTGGATTCCAATATACCTCCCCCCACCAGCTTGTCACCTTCTGAGCAAGGTTACCGCAATATCCAGTTATGCAACTCTACTCATTGTTTAAATCTCAAGAAGAAGAGTCATGCTAGGCTTGAGCATGAGATTGCAATGCAGAGACTGGAGTGCTGCTTGTACCCATTACCGCCCCCTTGTGCAATGCAGCAGGTATGTTAGAAAATGCCATTGGCTGTGCAAATATGTGATGATTTATTTGCAGGCTGCAAGGTTCCTTAGACGAGGTCTTGAAACCTTGTCTGATGGCGCGATCAAAAAGGCCACTTCATTGAAGTATGCTAGCCATGAAAGGATATATCACAACATTCTAGCTACGGCCTGGAAAATTGAGGAGAAAGAAAGAGCAATTAGCTTTCTGAATCAAGCTCAGAGTGACTACAAGCAGTCGCTATCTATTGCTGATACCGACTTGGAAGAGTTGAAGGATCACCTACACATGCATGGGCTGGACGCCGCAGAGAAAGATGATATTGACCCAACCAATGAAGAATCAGATGGCAATGATTCTTCATCTGAACCACAGGCAAGCTCTCCTGGTAGTCTTTGATGGACTCCTTCCCTTGCACCGTTTTTTTCATTGTGGAAATATTTTTTATTTATCTACTATCAATGTATGAGACAATGATCAAGTATATGTACAAGTATACAATGAACACCAGACACTGAGCTCGAGTAAGAACTGAAAACCTCAGTGAGAACCCAAAGAGGGCAATATTTCCATGTTAATGATAATCTCTGATCTAATATCTACACTAATCCTGGTATCTACGCCATCTGCCATGTATGTATTAATATGAGTGTGCAAAACAGGGCAAAAACATGGATGTGTAAACCTTGGACCATTAGAAAAGAGCCTCAAGGCAGGGCTGTGATTTGGAGAGGGCTTCGAGGATTTAATTCTAAGACTTGAGGGTAAGGCTTTTTAGAAATGGGCCTTGAGGCAAACTGTCTCTGTCTCCACCATTATCATTGACCCCAGTGTCAGTATAGTCCTCCAAGGCCAAACAAGGGGTCGGGTTTAAATCCCTTGGGTCAGCGGATGGAATTGGTAGATAGGGGAATCAGAAAAGGTGGGAATATTGTATCTGGACCAACTTTATCATAGTTAGTCACACCAAGGAGGAAAATGCGGAGAGAGTGACTCATTAGGAAAAAACCATTTTGTTATATAGCCAGACATGTTTCTATGGCTTCTATGACAGGTATAGCATCACTAAAATAGTAAAAAATATTCTATAATGGATATCATAACTGCTATAGTAGCTGTAGCAGCAATAGCAGCTATAATGGCTTGTTTTTATCTATGAAAACTTTATTTTGATTGTGGTGAAAATACCATTATTACTCACCAAATGGTTTGGCATATATATTAGCCTGCTTACTTATGTAATAAAAGTCTATCACATATGTCCCAAATATTATCTGTATCTTTCAACAACCAGGTATTGCTATGATAGATGCTATAAGTGTTATGGGAGCTATAGAAGGTATAATAACTTGTTATTTTCTATGAGACATTTCTCTGGTGCTAATGAGAATGCTTTTATTATTCAAACAATGGTTTGGTATGCATGTAAATTAGCCTAATGGTTTTTCTAAAACTCTATCACAAATATCCAAAATATTCAATTGTACATATACTAGAGAACACTATTGACATTGCAATCAAAGTTGAAGCTTTAAAGTGTTTTGCTTGACACACAAGGACATATTTAAGCAGTGTTTGAATATGTGGCACCAAAGCAAATTTTCCAGCAGTTGACTTTGAACACTATAATTGAGTGTGTGAAATTGGAAAGTAACACTGTCCATTTTCAAACACTTTTTAGGATTAGATTAGATTTGAGTACCATATTTCTTTCAGAGTCAGCTATTGATACATATGTGGCACTAGTATGATGTTACATATCACATCACAATAGACATTATTGTGATTCAAAGTCTTGCACATCCCTCTATCCTTTCAAGTTGTAACAAAATTGAGTTAATAGCACACTTATTAAGTATGCTGTTAGCTCTAGGTATGTTTTTGTTTTCAATAAATATCTTATAAGGTACTGAGATTAGCTTTGCTCTATTCACCGTGGCCACTGGCACCAGTGCCATATTGATACCCGACATATCCCACCACTACACCATCAGATGGTAGTAGTAGCATACATTATTGCATTAATTATTACTAAGATATGTTACAACTACTTCAAAGTTTGCTTGGCCACCTTATCTTTTTCGGAACAGGTGTGAATAGGTTAACAAGCCAAATATTCATCCATTTACTATATCTATTACCTATATTTATAATCAGTTACCAAGTGTTTGCACTATACATCCAGGCTTGACAAACTACAAAGAAAACTTATCAAATCATTCATGAAATTCTGTGAGTATTGTTAAAGTGTATTTATACAATAATATTAAATGTTGTCCACAGTGAACAGTATGAGTATCTCAAGACCAAACAGGAAACTGAGAGGATTTTCTAGTTTGTGAGGGTTCACTTCATTACAGTAGTTTACTCTATGCATGTCATACAACAGTATTAGAAATAAATCTTGACAGTTTGCTATATGTAGTCTCTGGCTATATTCAAAGTGAATTTAGTATGATTGATCTGAAACAAGAGTCCAGAATTATGACATCTCTTATACTCTATGAAAGCAGCCATAGTAGAAGTGAACTGTGTATATCACAAAAGTGCTACTATAGCAGGTGTAACAAATAGCTTAAAATAGTGCTGCTATATAGAGCTATATAATAGCGACTTGTCTAGGTGTACTATAGCTACTATTTACCCAGAGCATTATAGCGGCTATGATAGCCAGAAAAGGCAACCAGGTTTCTCCTGATGGACGCTAAAACTGTGTCAAACTAAGATACACAAGTACAAAAATAGCCATACCAAACATGCAAACCTGGCACTACAGGCATTGGCTTATTTAAGCCCAGCTTATATCCTGAAAATATGGGAGTTCTGGGTTCTGATTGGCTAGAAAAAGCTAAAATTGAATGATTTCAGGATATAAACTGGGGCTTAAATAAGCCAATGCCCACAGTGTGGTCCAATGAGATGAGTTGACCTCTATTCTATGGTGTGTCAGTGATTTAACAACCTTGATAATAGAAGTATGGCCAGTAATGGACCTAGTTAACTACAAGTCGGTTTAGTGGGCGGAAATAAAATACAACTTATTTCTGATTTAAACGTCCTGCAGATAGTAGATAGTAACTTGGTCACAAGCTTTTCTAGATGATCTCATAGCTCAGAGTCCTGAAAAAACACTTTTGAGATTTTCAAAGCTTGCAATGGTCTTGCAAGAGAATACAGATGACTAATATCACAATAAGTGCATAAGAGAGAAGCATAACTGTACCAGAAATTGATCTTGTGTCTCAGACACATATTATAACAACCAAAGTTTGTATACTCTGGTGCACAGTGAAGACAAGCAAAGAAGGGTGAGTGAAGAAGAGGATAATCTCCCTTGGGGTAGGACCAAATTTGTTAAGGGTAAATAACAGGAGGACTTGCTGAGGGGTCTTCTTGATTTATTGGGGTTTATATAGTAATACAGAGTGTTTGTACATATGTACTATACAGTTGCCAAGGGTGGTGGCTGATAATATTATAGGGTGCAGCCCTTATAATCAGCTCCACCACATGAAAGAGTTGTATCTAAAAATAATAGAAAGTAGTGCAGTGTAAGAAAGTAAAGATATAAGTGGAGTTTGAAAATCAAAGGGAAGGACCGCATGGCACAAGTGTTCAAAAATGACAATGAAAGTTTAAAGCAGAGAAAGAAAATTGTAAGTCCAAAAATTATGTATTGTAACACTACCCCTTTTCTAAGGCTCGACTTCCAGGCTTGACCAAGTACCGGAGGTAGTAGTTGAATTTTTGGGCATTGGTTGAAAAAGAGAATCAAAAAGATTCGAATCCATGCTTCTAAGCCTCCTAGGAGCCGAAGGGATTCTTAGAATAAAATTTGTGAACAGCATTGTGGAAATTGTTCAGATAGGCTTCTGGTTCCCACATTCTGTCCTTATCTCCATAGCCCTCCAGAGGACCAGGAACTCTATTTTTCCACACTTCAAGTGTGCACCCACCACCTGACCACTTGTTCAACTTTGAATTTCTCTTCACCCTCCTGGGTAACTACAACCAGTCCAAGCATTGTGACTTCAAAATTGTCTTCAAAGGTGTTCCAATTTGCCTTTATCTATATCTATCTGGAGTTTTACCACCATTCAGCAATTCTAGCCCTGTCTCCTTCAAAAAAAACCAGGGTTAGCAATGATTTTTACTCATTTGTTAAATTTTCACTCAACTGCTTTAAGGGGGTTAGCCTGAAGCCCTTTGAGTAAAACCATTAACTGTCCAATTTGCTGCCTTATACAGTGAAGGAGAGCACATCAGGAAAAACCATAATGCTATTCATATAAAAGGTAGGTTACTATATGGGCTAATGGGCTATAATAGCTTCACTTTGCCTCTACAGGTTGGTGAAAACCTACAGTAATAGTAGTATGACTATATGAGCTATAAGAGTTGATTTTGAGTTATAACAGCTGTAAGTCAGTAATACAATAGATCTATAAGGGCTATAATAGCTATCTTGGGTTTTCCTAATGTAGCAGTGGGGTCTGTGGTTTCTTGTGCCAACATAGCAACTTGTTCAGTTTATAAGGTAAAAAGAAGTAACTGGGGGTCCCTGCTTGCTATTCTGGGGATTTACCACTTCCCAGCTGGATGATGGATCTCAATCTCCAACTACCCACAAGTATTGTAGTAAAATCTGTATATAAGAACTATAGTAGCAAAACCCTAATCCAAACAGTTGTTAGGGGGTGGTCCACTTGTTAAGCTGTCAACCCTTTTCCAGACTGGAGGAGGCAAGTGCCTGGCCTAGTCAGAGTAAAGAAAAGGAGAATATTTTATCTACAATGTGTAAACACTAGTGGTTCCACACTGACCAATGCTGCTAGCTATACTCCTTAACACTAGGGTCTGTGTGAACTGGTTCAATTTTCTAGTTCCCTTGAGTAGGAGCTCACCTGACTCTGCAGGAGCACTTTAAGTCATGACCATCTGGCACTAAGCCCAACAACTGGTGTATGGACAATAATCTTTTTAAAACATCCTTTAATACTGATATCTGCGTGGATAATAATTCCACTTAAAGCCTGTGGTCTGGCTTTGCACAGTGTGCAGGAGAGTAATGAGAGTAAGTTTTTAGTGTGACAATACCCCAAAGTTTGTATGCTCTGGTGCACACACAAAAAACTCAATGAAGATGTGATGAGGAATAAGGGAGTTGGTAGACTTAAGTGTTAGGAACAAGTTAGTTGATGGTATTCAACAGGAGGACTTGCTGAGAATTCTCCAATCTATTTTAGGTTATATATATTGTTACAAGTAGGTATTGCATAGATAAAATCAATATTTGTAATATTCCATTGTATTCTATATGATATCATATCATGTGACCAGTTATGTGACTTCACAATGTGTTTAGCTTATGTAATATCATAAGACTTTTCAAGGCCCAAGATTATGGTGAAAGAAAATAAGTCCATTAACAGATGGGTACAACATATTATACTTGACTATTCTTATATTTAATACTATTAACTAGCTCAACAGCTGTCACCTCATTTTCTCACAAACCCATGTGTGAGCCTTCATCTCCTGTATTAATATTTAATCCAAATTTGTTTATGGTTAAAATGCAGACTTTTCTAATAAATGTCAAAGCGGCAGGTCACAAGAAGATGGTGAAATGCTTGTGCTAGTGAAAAAGAGGAGAAGAAATTAAATAACATATTAGTGTCCCCCAGCTTTGATATTATACTGACACCTGCTGTCAACCATACTGATGTTTTAAAAATATTCCAAGTTCACAATAAGTTTATCTGACATCAAATCTGCCCTTCCAAAATTGACAGCATATTTTTTTCTTCTCATCTATGCACACCAGTGCAACTTGATGGTCCTGTCAACACATGTACTCCCAGGACAAAGCATGTGTACATGCTCAAGGTGCAGCAAAAGCACCTTGAAATACAAATTTTAAAGGACAGAAATGACTCAACACGGTTTGCTTCAAGATCAGACAGAATCAATCAAGAATGTCAATTACAGGACAAGAAAAATCACTTACTACATGAATGTAGGTACATGAAACTGTGATATTGAATTGCCTATTGAAATGTGCAAACCAGCCACTGTGTTCATAATTATTTTAGGGCAGAATATGTCTGCTATGCTATCAAGTGTTTTATGTTACAAATCATGCAAAATTGTGATTTATGATTTGAAACTTGAAAATCACTTCCTCAAAGTATATACACACCATTTTGTCCTTCCGTAGCATCACCATAGCCAGTCTCAAACCTATGGTTTCTGCAAAAAGAACTAATTAGCAACACAAAGCTACAGAATAGTGATTATCCAAAACCTCAGTAAGTCTTCAAATTCTCTTTTTGTAAAGCCTATTGTACTATGCTGATTGGAGTTTTACTATTCATTAGATTTTACAAGGTGCAACAAAAGAAAAATCACCTTCATTTTCCTATGTAGGAGACTCCAAGGACTGAGGTTTCACTGCAAAGGTTTACAGCCTGTGACAGACGTACATTGCTCCAAAAACTGTGCAAAGCACATTATTTCATCTCACTGGAAGGCTGGTGCATGCTCACTAGACTATAGAAAGGAAGCAGAGAAAATCCCTACTTCAACTTTGCCACCAGCATCAGCATCAAACCTGCCATACTTAAGTTAAGACTTTGATTGCAATAGCAGCACCCTCCCGAGGGTCCAATAAAAGCTACTGATATCTCCACATTATATTGTGTGGTCATTGAATGGTGGATAAACTGGGGGCCTGAAGGGTTGTGGGGTAGGTGGTTCAATAAAGAGCCGGGGAGGGCCGGTGAAAGAGGGCTGTTGTGTGGTTAACATGTTTTTTGAAAGATGGGAGAACCATGCATAGAAGGGGATGCTGAAGGACTTAAAGGATACATTACTTGCTTGTCCATGTAAGGGGACACACAATGACCCATATACTTTGGTGTTAACAATCATGGCTGAAATCAGATTGTTTTGAAGTAAAACTTGATGTGAGCCTGTGCATTAAGGGGAAAAGGCTATATAGGATTTATAGTACTATAATTGCATATATAGCTGTTATATCCACCATAGTTGTCAGAGAAACCTCAACATCTATTAAAGCATAATAGTATTATATAGTCCACTATAGTCCAAATAGGCTTGTATAGTAGCATTGTGATTTATAAAAACATCTGTAGTAAGCTGAAAGGATATAGCTAAGTTATTTGTACACTGTAGCAAAGATGTTATTTTATATGCTTGAAAATTGGTAACTTTGTCACTTAGTCACAGGCCTTTATGAAGTGAACATCTGCAAAATGCAAAAATTAGCTTAGGGCTAACCACATCTCAAAATCCAACATTTCTGGCATCTATAACTCTCATTGGTGGAGAAAGTTGGGACTACCATGTATATCCAGGTGTCTGGAATTGGGTGATGAGATTATGTTTCTTTTTGATATGATAACAACAACATTACAATCAGTACAATAAGAGACAGTAGTGTAGATTATATTTGACAGTATCTACTTGTGTCCATTACTACCAAAGCCACTCAATTGTCAGCTATCTACATCTGAGAATCAATCCAACTTGGTCATGAATGGACTTCATTTAAATAGTATATGTTACCCATATAAAGTCTTTCCTCTCCAACTGATGTGCTGCAAAACAGGTGTTTGATGAGATTGACATCTTCTTCTGCTATGATATTCCCATTATGGTCTCTCTGTTTTCTTGAAAACCAGAAATTTCAAATGCACTTGAACTACTTGACTAGCTAGAAATTGAGACAGTGCCAATGTTAGCTGCCTTCAAATAGTGGGGCTGATGTGCTTATCTGCAAAAATGTGTGTGTTGGCGTTACTTAACACCACAGTATTGCAATGTCTGAGCGGCATATGCAGTAAGGGTAAACAAGCTTGTTACAATACACAATTTTTGGACCTTTAATTTTCATTCTCCTCTTTAACTTTATACTGTAGTTTTCACACCCTGTGCCATGCGGCACTTTCCTTTTTGTTCAAACTCCTCTTTCTCGCGCTGCACTGCCTTTCTTCTTATTTTTAGCTACAAGTATCTCACGCAGTGGAGCTGGTCACACAGGCTGTGCCCATAACATCATCAGCCACTGCCTTCATCAACTGTATAGTACATATGTACAAACAAACCTGTAGTAGTATATATACTCCTCAGCAAGTCCTCCTGTTGTATCCTCACAACTAACTTGTTGAAGCCTAAAGGGTAACCACTCCCTCATCATCATCTCTATAGCTTGTCTGAGTTGTGGGCCAGAGTAACAAACTCTTGGTTGTTACATTAGGACTCACTCTTTCTACTCTCTCGTACATTGTGCAAACCCCAACCCCAGGGTTAAGGGGATAATATTATTGTTTGGGAATATCCCGCATAGCAGATAGGTGCGCTCCTAGTGACGGCCTTGTAGTGCTTTGGGAGAAGAGACAATAATTTTGATACATGGCCCCCAGTGTTAAGGGGAGTACTTGGCTCAGCAGTTGGTGTGGAACCACTGTTGATCAGAATTTATATACAAATCTTTCTCTTTCTCTTTCCTCTGGCCAGGCCGGGCACTTGCCTCCGCCAGTCTGGAGAAGGGTTGACAGCTTAACAAGCAGACCACCCCCTGACAACCATTCGGACCAGGGTTTATTATGTTTACCTTTTATATACATTTTCAAATACTATAGTGTGGGTAGTCGGAGATTGAGATCCGATACTCAGCTGGGAAGAGGTAGATCAAAAGATAGCAAGCAGGGACCCCCAGTTATCTTTTTTACATTACCAAAGAGAACAAGTCAACATGTCATCGCAAACTCCTGATGTCAATGCTCTGTTGCACAACATGTGTGCACAGATCTTGGCGTTAACTACGCAACTCGCCGAGCTCCAAGCAAACCCCCCTGCAGCAACCCCCTCGGTCGAGAAAAAGTTCAATAAGAAAGTTGAAGTCGTCGCTGATCCTGGCGCCTTTGAAGGAGACAGAGCAAGATTCGCCAAATGGTGGATCAAGCTCCAGATTTGGATCAAGGCAAACTGGGAAGCGTTTGCCGATGATTTTGAGGTAGCAACGGCAGTGCTATCTCGACTAAAAGGGCCTGTGGCATGTTGATACGCCCAAGTTAGAATGCAGGAGTGCTACACCGCGGGAGTGTGGCCTGTCTGGGAAGATCTCAAAGTCGAGATTGAAAAATATTTTAAACTGCAAGCTGAGCGTGACTGAGCTCGCCAAATAATCTGTTCCTTCAAACAGGGAAACATGAGGACAGATGACTACATTACCCGGTTCCTGGCCCTCTCCATCCAAGGAGGGCTTGGAAATGAACATGCAGTAGGACTGCTGGAACGCAATGTGAACCCTCACATTGCAGAACAGATCTATCTGCAGGATACCAGAAACGGGAACTTGGCCCTGGCGGCTGAGGAAGTACAACAAGTCGGTAGAGCCATGGAGCTCTACGCTATGCATCAAAGTGGCGGGTCCACCACCAAAAATAACTTTTCCCAGAGGAGCCCTGGGTCATCAAACCAAAAACACAATCACTCTCACGGGTTCAAGCCGTTCGGGCTGCAACCAGGGCAGGGAGCCCCTATGGATATTGGCGCGGTCCAGGGAGGACAGATGCGCAGATTCAAGGGCAGCTGCTACAATTGCGGTCAAGATGGACACATGTCCTGAGACTGTAGAAAAGGGGTGCAGGCCACCCAACAAGAAAATAACCAAGGGCGCCAGGTGCGCCAATTAGAAACAGAAAAACTGGACAATTGGCTCAATACTCTGGCCGGTTGTTCATACGACAAAATCCGAGCCTTCTCATACAACCAACAGGTTGCTGAAATGAAGACTCAGGGAAAAGAGTTCGGAGCCTAGGTCACTTGGGTGCCTTTGCTCCTATAAACGATGAAGTAAACCACAACAAGGTGGCCCCTGCTTCGGGGTGTTGCACGAGCAATAAAGGAAAGATGGGGGTGGCTCCCCAAATTGTAAATAATTTTCTAAATGTGTTATCAGAAACATGTACTTGTATGCAAAGCTGTGATTGTGGATTTGTCTTGGGCCCTCCTGACGAAATAGCTGCTTTGAGTGCTGATTCAGTGGGTCAGGATAATAAAAGAGTTGGTGCTAAAAATACTTACAAAACCACTGCTGTACCAGCGTCTCCTCTGGATTGTGGCCCCGGCAAAACAAAAACTAGGGTGCTTGATTCTGGTAAAAATAAAAATATAGAAAATTGTATCGACCAATAGTTTGTTACTCTGGCGCACAACTCAGACAAGCAAGAGAGAAGAGAGAATGAGGGATCACCCCTCAGGTTTCAACGGGTTTGTTGTGCTAGACAACAGGAGGACTCGCTGAGTCCTTCCCCATGTATTGCTCTTGTATATATATACTAAAATGCATGAGGTACTGTACAGTTGTAAATCAAGTTTAAAGTCCAATGTTTAGCATGTGACCGGTCACATGATGAGTCTAGACATTGGTCAGGTGTTGCGTCACATGACTTGGTCATGTGACTAGGAAAAGTCGAAAATGTAAAGTAAAGTAAATAGTCACATGACCAGTCATGTGACTTGGAAAAATGAAAAATAAAAGTAAAAGTGCAAAAAGTGAAGCATAAGTAGGTATTGGTACATCAATTGTAACAAAAATACTAAAGTAGAAAAACATATCTCTTTTGAATCTTCTTCTTTGGAGCCACTTCCCACAGAAATCTGTTGATGCGCACAAATTTATTCCAAAAGGAGATCCGCTTAGACATTGGTGTGGAAAACCTTGCCCGGGCATAGTATACCCAACCAGTGCACTGCTTGATTCAGGCGCTACTCAATCTTCATAGATCAGGTCTGGGCAGGCGCAGTTGGACTCCCACTTGTAAAATTACGATGTATCTATTCCCGTCTATAACATTGACGGTACGCTTAAGGTGGCTGTATCATGCACAAATGTTCTTTTGTTGTTGAGTACCAAGGACACAGAGAACAAGTCACCGCCGAAGCTATCCAACCAGGGAAGATTAATTTAATCTTAGGCTGGACCTGGTTATTTAAACACAATCCCGAGATCAACTGGCAGACAGGGGTTGTCACTTTGTCACTTTGTCCTCAGGAGTGTAAAAACTTGGGTAAACCAAGTCAAGTCCGTCAAACTGAGTGTCTTGAAAAGATAAACGCTGGTCACGTTTATGAGCTCAGATCTTTAGGAAAGATTGATGATGACAATGACAAGGTAAAACCTGAGGAAAAGATTAAAAGGCTGGTACCTCCCGAGTACCATGACTTCTGGAAAGTCTTTTCAAAACATAAGTCAGAGCACTTCCCAGAGGCTAAGCCTTGGGACCATGCAATAGATTTGAAGGACACCTGTTACAATTGACATACCAGCACCTACTTACACTTTACTTTTACTTTTACTTTTAATTTTTCCAAGTCACATGACCAGTCATGTGACCATTTACTTTACTTTACATTTTTGACTTTTCATAGTCACATGACCAGTCATGTGATGCATCACCTGACCAGTGTCTAGGCTCACCATGTGACTGGTCACATGCTAAACATTGGACTTTAAACTTTAGTTACAACTGTACAGTACCTCATGTATTGTAGTATATATACAGGAGCAATACATGGGGAAGGACTCAGCGAGTCCTCCTGTTGTCTAGCACAACAAACCCGTTGAAACCTGAGGGGTGATCCCTCATTCTCTCTTCTCTCTTGCTTGTCTAAGTTGTGCGCCAGAGTAAGACACTCTTGGTCATTACAAAACCTTCAAACCAAGAAAATGACACATGATACCACTCTTTGCTCCAAAAAGAGATGAGGTATGAACAGCTTAGGAAGGGTTACATTCCTAAAAAGGATGGTAAAAAGCGTATGATTATGAACTATCATTACATGAATGAGCACACGGTTAAAAATGCGTATCCGCTGCCTTTGATCAGTCAGCTAGTAGACAAATTGGCTGGTGCCAAGATCTTGACAAAGATGGATCTTAGATGGGAGTACAATAATGTACGAATCAAAGAAACAGATGCTTGGAAGGCCGCGTTCACATGCCACTGAGGATCCTTTGAGCCCCTTGTCATGTTCTTCGGGTTGACCATTTCACCGGCAACCTTCCAGAGCATGATGAACGAGATCTTTGCGGATATGGAGAACTGTGTCGTCATTTACATTGACAATTTATTGATATTCACGAAGTCGGACAATGAGGCTGAGCATGACAGGATCGTGCAAGAAGTCATTCGACGCTTACAGGAACAGGACCTATTTGTCAAACCCAAAAAATATAATTTCAAAGTGAAGGAAGTAGACTTCCTTGGTATGATAATAGGCCAGAACAGAATCAGGATGGACCCTCAGAAAGTTCAAGCTATATTAGATTGGCCAGAACCTACTCGTGTCAAGGGAGTTAGGGCCTTCCTTGGCTTAGGGAATTTCTACCGAAGGTTCATCGAAAACTTCGCGAAAATCACGAGACCGTTGAACGATCTCACCAAAAAGGACATTGTTTGGCACTAGGGCACCAAAGAACAAGAAGCTTTTGATAAGCTTAAACAGGCGTTTACAATGGTGCCCATATTAGCATTTCCAGAATTAGACAAAGAGTTCCGGCTAGAAACCGACTTTTCTGATTTTGCTACTGAGGCTGTTTTGTCAATTAAATGCCCTGACGATCTTTGGAGGCCTTGTGCCTATTTATTGCATAATTTGTTGCCTACAGAGCCCAACTATCAAATTTACGATAAGGAGATGCTGGCTATCATGAGAGCTTTAGAGCACTGGCGGCACTACTTAGAAGGTGCTAGGCACCAATTTGAAATTTGGACTGATCATAAGAATCTAGGGTACGTTATGACAGCCCGAGACTTGAACCGGAGACAGGCCCGCTATGTGGTATACTTGTCTAGGTTTACTTATAAATTAACTCATAAACCTGGAACTTCGATGGGGAAAGCGGACACTTTGTCCAGAAGAGAGGATCATGCCAACGGCATAGAAGATGATAACAAAGGTGTCACCCTGATAGACCAATTAAGGGTTGTCAATGTTAGAATCGGGCAGGATACCAATCTTCTGGAAGGCTTCAATAAAGACATTTCCTCAGAAGAGAAAGTGCGCCTTGATGGCAATAAAAACTATTTATGGAAAGACGGGCTCTTCCATTTTAAATACAAAATCTATGTGCCTGAGTCCGCAAGAATCAAGGAAATAGATAGACATCAAGACACTCCAGTGGCTGGGCACCCTGGGTGGCAACAAACAATGGAGTTGATCTCCAGGAACTACATGTGGGTGGCCTGGCATGGTCAAAGACGTACAGGAGTATGTAAAATCCTGTCTGAGATGTGCCATGGCAAAGAACTCACATCAACTGCCGGCCGGTAAACTTATGCCAAATCTGATACCAGCTGGTCCTTGGCAGGATATATTGGTTGATTTCACAACAGATCTACCCAAATCGAATGGGTATGATTCAGTAATGGTGGTGGTGGATCGCTTCTCCAAAGAAGTAGTGTTGATCCCCACCAACAAAACCATTACCGCTGCTGGTACAGCAGATCTATTTAAAGATTTTGTATGGTCTATCCATGGGTTGCCAGAAACGGTTATCTCCAATAGAGGACCTCAATTCGCTAGCGAGTTTACGAAAGAATTATGCCGGATGCTGGGCATCAAACCTAAATTATCAACAGTGTTCCATCCGCAGACCGATGGACAAACGGAGAGACTCAACCAGGAGTTGAAGCAATACCTCCGAATATTTATTAATGACAAGCAGACAGATTGGGCCAAGTGGCTAAAGATAGCCCAGTTCTCATATAATATCAAACAGTCGTCGGCTCCAGGAAAGGCACCATTCGAGGTTACTAGATCATACCTCCCCAGAATGGGTGTAGAACCTGGCAAAAGCAAGAACAAGGCTGCTGGGAACATGGCAAAAGATATGAAGTTTGTCTTGGACGAAATTCGCAAGGCGCTATTTAAAACTGCAGAGCAGATGAAAGACAGGGCAGAGCGTAGACGCTCTAAGGCCCCTGACTACAAGGTCGGTGACCTGGTCTGGTTAGATACAGACCACTTAAAATTAAAGGATCGGCAGTCTAAAAAACAGACCAAAAAGTGGATTGGCCCTTACCGGATTAAGGAAGTCAAACCCAACGCAGTGGAGCTGGAACTCCCAAAACAAATGAGGGTAGTACCCACGGTCAATATAAGCCGTGTAAAACCCTACAAAGGGCCGCTGCCGGGACAGCGTGTAGACCGGCCCGGACCGGTTGTAGTCACCCAGGAAGGTGAAGAAGAATTCGAAGTCAAACAGGTAGTGGATGCACGCTTGAAGCATGGAAAATTAGAGTTCCTAGTCCTATGGAAGGGCTATGGAGACGAGGACAGAACATGGAAACCAGAAGCCCATCTGGACAATTCCCGCGACGCTGTTTGCGAGTTTTATTCTAAGAATCCCTCGGCTTCTAGGAAGCTTAGAGGCATGCATTCAAACCTTTTTAATTCTCTTTTTCAACCTATGCCTGAAAATTCAACCACTACCTCCAGTATTTGGTCCCGCCTGGAAGTTGAGCCTTAGAAGGGGGGTAGTGTTACGATAACACAATTTTTGGACCTTCCCTTTATTCTATTCTCCGCTTTAACCTTGTACTTTAGCTTTCACACATGGTGCCACGCGGCACTTCCCCTTTGGTCCAAACTCCTCTTTCTCGCGCTGTATTGCCTTTCGTCTTATTATAGATACAACTCTCTCACACAGTGGAGCTGGCCATGCGGGCTAGGCCCCATGACATTATCAGCCACTGTTGCCATCAACTGTATAGTACATATGTACAAATAACCCTGTAGTAGTATATATACCCC